TTAGAAAATGAAGGCCTACTCTAATCAAGCACTAATGATTTTGAGTATTTGAGAAAGCCACAAGTGTTCACAAGTTGTTTCGGTACTTAATTGTCCATTCTGTTATGTGTGCCCTTTTTTGGTCCACATTTGACTAGTTTCAACTTTCAGCTTTTGTTTGTTGGATTGAAGAGCCATCCACTATTAAAGGACTCATTCATCTGTAAGTTCTTATGCTGTGATCAAGTCAGGTCTCCGCTTCTTATTTGAATGATTGAGTACAATGGAAACCATCGCTGAATTTGCTGTTTTATCCTGTACCACATTTTTCAAAGATATTTACCTGAAAGACATAACCAAGATGGTTTTGATTAGCTTGTCTTCCTTTTAAACACACAAGCTTGTTTCCCCAAAAGGCTCTAAAGATCTACACACAGAATAGAAAGTGTACTTAGTTTTTTGTTTTATTTGGCATCAGTGCCTTGAAAAATGCAGTCATCGGGGGACTATATTTGTGCAATTATATCTGTGTGTTCCATGTTGCTGTCTTGTGGCTGTCCTGCAAAAGGTCAGCTGAAGAGCCACTGCACAAAAACCAGAACAACTTTCCCAGGCAATGATCAGTGATAATTCTGTTTCGAGCAGGGGCAAGGAAACCATGTGGTTTGCACTCTGAAAATTTGTATATAGCGCTTTGCTCCAGGGCAGTGTGCAGCTTTGAGGGCTTAAGAGAAAATAAGATTCTTAACATAGAAAAACTAGGATTTCTATTGAGAAATTCTGTCTGTCATGATATCACTTAAGCAGGTTTACCAAATTTCAGGAAGTTGCATTAATGAGGAGGAACTGTTTATTTTTAACTCTAAAGTTGCTTGGAAGACTTTTTTGATTGCATGTCGTAGGGGGGCAAAAATAACAGCTGATTTCTGTTAGTATCAGCTTTTTGCTATGATTATGATTTGTGTTTATTTTTATTATGCCCAGAAGAGACATCCTCTATTCCTGTGGTGTTGCTATCTTTAAGGAAACTAAAAATATACCATACCTGTGCTCCATCTGACATGATTTCCATTCCCTGCTCTCCAGAGATTGAGATTTTGCCTTCAGGAGAGTATTTTGATGTCTGTGTTCATACCTATTTGCTGTTATGTGCACAGCTGAATTTTCTGTGTTTTGTGGAGTTTTCTGTGTGAAACAGTGGTTTGTGTTGCTGCTTCTAATCGAGGATCATTGACATCACTGTATTTTTCTCAGAATTACTTGTGGTCGATGTCAGCTAATGGGCAGTGAACCATAACCATAAGGTGCAATAAGCTCCATAAGTAACAGTCGTGATTTGTCTCTGAGAGAATCTTAACCTAAGTTAAAACAGTCAAAAGATACTTTATATCAAATTCAATAGAGTTCTTCATCAATGGATGACATGATCTAGTTATACATTGTATGACTTTGTTTTGCAGGATCCGTTTCTTGAAAAGATGAAATGTCTTTCTCAGGCTAGAGTAATTTTCCTTCCAACTATTATGGTTGAAGTTGCTAGATGTTTTTAGCATGTAAGTAAAGTAATGTTGATTTTTGCATTGAACTTTTGATAAATGTGCTTGTTTTCTCTCTGTAAAACACTTTTATTCAAACTTTCTGTGCATGAGTGTTGTGTGAATAATAAATAGAGAGGCTATTGAATAGGTCAGTATACAAATTTCAGATTTAGATTTACAGATACATCAGGTGACGATACTGACTTACTTGTTTGAAATTTAAGTTCCATTCCCTCTTGTACCATCTGGTGTTTTGTGTCCATCTGTTGTGTTTTAACTCCAGCCAGCAACTAAGCACCATGCAGCCGCTCTATTACTCCCCCCTCAGCTGGACAGGGGAAAGAAAGTGTAACAAAGGGCTTGTGGGTCGAGATAAGGACAGGGAGAGATCACTCAACCAATTACTGTCATGGGCAAAACAGACTCGACTTGGGAAAATTAATTTATTGCCAATCAAACCAGAGTAAGGTAATGAGAAATAAAACCAAACCTTAAAACACCTTCCCCCCACCCATCCCTTCTTCCTGGGCACAGCTTTACTCCCAAATTTGCTACCTACCCCCTCCAGCAGCACAGGGGGATGGGGAATGGGGGTTACAATCAGTTCATCACACATTGTCTCTGCCATTCCTTCCTCCTCTTCCCCTGCTCCAGCATGGGGTCCTCTCTCCCCGGGCTGCAGGTGGAGATCTGCTCCACCGTGGACCTCCCTGGGCTGCAGGGGGACAGCCTGCCTCACCACGGTCTTCCCCACGGGCTGCAGGGGAATCTCAGCTCCGGCGCCTGGAGCACCTCCTCCCCTCCTTCTGCACTGACCTGGGGGTCTGCAGGGTTGGTTCTCTCACATCTCACTCCTCTCTCTGGTTGCAGGTGCTACTGCCCAGGCTTTTTTTTCCCCTTCTTAAATATGTTATGACAGAAGCACTACCACCATCGCTGATGGGCTCAGCCTTGGCCAGCAGCGGGTCCGTCTGGGAGCCAGCTGGCCTTGGCTCTGTCGGACATGGGGAAGCTTCTAGCAGCTTCTCACAGAAGCCACCCCTATAGCCCCCTGCTACTAAAATCTTGCCATGCAAACCCAATACAGCATCTTGTGATTTTAGCCAATTACAGACATAGTATCTTAAAGATACAGATGTATCTTAAAGGGGGATGTAGTGAGAAGGATTAGGTTTTCAATGATCTGAGTTTCAGACTTCTCTATGTGTAGTAGGGGGTCCCTGGTCAGTGAGCTATTGAGGGAAGGTCCCAATCAGATAGGAAAAGGAAGGAAATCATGCGGAATTTGTTGGGAACTTAAATAGCAGTGTCATTCGTATAAATGGGAAAAATAGGAAGAGAAACCTTGTATGAACCCTTCTCCCTCTAAGACAGATGCACATGTTGCATGTCTATTATCCCACTGAATATAGGAGAGACAGATTTCTAGGATTAGACCACAAGAGTATTTCTCAGTAGATAGAAGCTAACAGACGAGGCGGATGGGTAGAATTTGAGGATAAGAGGGTCATGCAATGTGCATGAACTATCAAATGCCTTGATATCTTTAATGACTGAATTTATCTGATCAGTAATTTAAAGCAGCATCTAGTGTTTAGAGTTATGGCAGTCACAAGATACATTTAATTATGCAAAAATCTGTTTTTTAAGCTCTGGACATCTGCACACTCTTAGTCATTAGACTAATGGTGGTGGACTAATGCTACCAAGAAAAAATATTTCTCTTGTGCTCTGGCAATAAAAAGAAAAAGAAGAGTGCTATACTTTGCAATTAATGGAAGAGACAGATCCATGTCAAGAACACGGTGACTAAATTAACGGAGTTAGTAATTTCTGTAACAAATATTGTCTTTTTGCTGTTAAACATCAGCTTTTTTTTTCTTTTTTTCATTATACTGAGGAATAACAAATGAAACCGGGAAGAAAAGAATGTTCTTGCTATGAAGCCAGTATTCTGCCCCCTCCCCGCCTTTTAAGAAACTGCCTTCCCAATGGGAGAAAGTAAATTTTACATAGTAACAAAGAAAAGTTACTTGTCTAATTGTTTTGCTCTTAGCTGCAAGTCCTAAGGCTTTCTTTTAACAGCTACAGATAAAAATCTTGTTGTTTTCCATGCCTTTCTCTTTTCTGATTACAGATATTACAGCTTGCAAAAAGAACAGAGGAGTGCAACTCCTTTCACTCTTTTCTGTCTTCACTCCCAGTGCCCCATTTTTCACAGTGATGGATTGATGAAGATACAGCAGAAAAAATACTTTCAGGTAAGGATCTTTTTTGTATTTAGTGATACCAGCTGGTACAGCATTATAAATGTGGCTGCTTTTGACCGTAGCAGATGAAGTGCCATTATAGAATGATGCTTTACTGATCTTTAAAATTCTGCTCTCTTAATTGAACTTGCCTCGAGAACATACTCTTGCTTTCTGGAAAAATAACTTGCACTGGAACTTAAAATGGCTTATTGTTTCTTGCATCACAGAACACTTAGTGTTTTTTTCGTTCAGACCATCTTTAGTTGATTCCTTTGCTGATGATACCTATCAAGCAAACCATTTGATCACAGCTGTTTTTCTATTTGCATGCATTAGGGCTGCCTGGCTTTTAAGGACAGCATAGTTCCTTCAGTAGAATTCTTCCAGCAAAACCCATGGTAACGCTCTTATCATCAGGAAAGACAACAGGAAGGATTTAGTATCTAGAGTAAAATAATTTTTGGACAGTAATGGGTTCTGTTGATGTAACTATAAGAGAAATAAATAACTGTACTTAGCAATAAAGCTTACCTTTAATGTATACCTGCTACTATCCAATACCTGTTGCTAGCATGCTTTCTACATATCTGTTATTTAAATAAATATAAGCAATTTCAGATATGAGGATAAATGTTTTCATTTTGCTCAAACAAGTTTTGTATGTTTTAAGGGAAGTTACAGCATAATGTGATATTGAATGTATTTTGGGCTCTGATCTTGTATGAAAGAGATAGTATATTTGACTTTGAGATTTTGTCTTTATAAGGTATAATTAACATATATCATAGCCTGGGAATAATAAAATATAGAAATTAAGGAATGAAAACCAGTAATTTGTAACTCTAATTTCACCAAAAGCTTTTAATGAAGGGCAAATTTTATGCCAATATTTAATGTATGCTGGAAAGTTCAGCTGGTTAAAACCTCAGAATGAAATGTGAAACAGGACAGCTTTTGCTTTCTTATGGTTTTACACATACATTTCTGATTGAACAAAAACCCCCCTTTGCTTTTAATAAATGTAACTATGATTTCAGCAGAAATAAAATAATTTATTAATATTTAGGTGATTATTCTTCAAAAGTATCACCCATGCACTTTTTCCTTTTTTACAGTGTTCCTAGTGAGATCACAAAGTTTCATTTATTGCTGTCAGAAAAGCAACCAAGCTCCTCCTTCCATCCCTCCCCCAGGCATCTCAATACAAAAGAAAACTTTCTGCATAGGAGCTAGCTAGGTAGATAGGAAGTTCTTTTGAACTGAATGGTGAAGGTGAGAAAATGAAGACTTTCTGTCTCTCTGAAGATACAAGCTAGCAGAAATTAGTTTAAGAAAGCAGTGTGAAGGTTTCTATTGTGAAGGGGATGTTGTAAGTAAGTACTTTGTTTTTGCTAAGTATTTGTATACTATGAGAAATCTCAATTGCTACTTAATTTAAATCTATGTAAGTTTGATCAAGATATTCAGGGATGTATGTATGCAAGTGTGTATATATATAAATAATATGTGCACACATTTTTAAGTCTTAGATGTGGTTTTATTTTAGGTACAGGTAGCATGTGCATAAGAAACTGTGCCATTAAAGTAGAACTACTATATTGTAAACATGTTGCTCTTCCTATAGTTTACATGTGGCAGTACAGCATTTTACTAAACATCAATATATTTCTCATATTAATTACTGACTACTTTTTGTCTTGTTTTGTTATATTGGCTTATGCACAGTAGTCCTCAAATTGGCTTTAGTACGATCTCATCTGAGTTATATTTATCTTGACATAGTGGAATTTCTTTACCTACACAAATCTGGAATGTTTTTCTCACAAAAATGCTGGTGAGTGATTTTTTTCACAATGTTTAAGTAATGCACAGTCTAACCTGTTGCATACATTTCTGATTTTGGAGGTAATGAGTGAATAGATATTGTATTATATTGATATTGTGAACACCTTTGTATAATACATCTTTTAAAAAAAAACCAAAACCAAAACCCCCAAAACCCACTGGTAGATATTTACCTAAACACAAAGGTTTTTTGGGGGGCGGGGTGTGAGTGGGAAGCAGAGAGTGGGGGACAAAGTGCTAGGTAGAAGAAATGGCCATGTATTTTAGAAACAGCAGTAGTCCAATGAAATGTTCAAGTTTGATTTTACAAAGGACTAAAATCTGTTAAATCTGTCGATAATTATTGGTAGTTAAATAGAATAAAATGGTGATCAGAGAGCAGAAGTATTTTCTCTTTATTGAAACTGAGTAAGTGATAGCAGTAGCTTTTTGCAAGGTATTGTACACACAGAAAAGAGAGAATTCCTAGCCTATTTCATAAGTTGTTGCTGTGAGCTGTTTTCTCATTTTTTCTTGTTCCAGATGAGCACATGAACAGTGGTTCATCTGATAGAAAAATATTTGAGCTACATATAAAACAATGTTTGATTCCTTTTTTAATCACCTTTTTTGTGCAATGTTATTATTTTTAATAATGCGCATTCATTACAGTATGCATATCTAGTGCATCCATGGTGATGATGAACTTGGAGATGCTTATAATATTCAGAATTTTCAGATCAGTGTCTCCTGTTGTATATGGTGAACTCTTTGAATGTAAAGTTTGAAATCTGAAATAGCTAATGCAGACCGTTGGTTTTACTGACACCCAGTTCCGCACTTGTGGGTCATATAGAAAGCTGACTCCAGAGTGTCAGAGGTCTCTGTTTAACAGCAAGGAAAGTTTTGGTAGCTATGGAATGATTCAATGCAAGATTGATACCTATATTTAGGTGTCTAAACGCAGATGTTTGTAATCTAGGTGTTTCATCTCCCATTACAGTCAGTGGAGATATAGTTAATGTTGTCACTGCAGTTTTAGATGATTTTAAAGTAGCTGTCTCCCTTTGATCATTTGGATATCTCTACAGCCTTGATTGACTATTCATACACTAGATATCCACTGACTGTAATGGGAGTTTAGGATGCCTTCTTCACATGCAGGACCTCAAAAAAAAAAAGTATCTACAGACTGTATCCAGCCATAACATCTTTGTGTTTCTGTATGTGTGGCCTATGTGTTAATATAAATTTGTATATTTTTAAGGTACTAAAAAAGCTACTGATTTTGTTGCTATAGTTGAAAAGGCTGTTTTGTTTCCTGAACCAAAATTGAATGGGATGTATGCACTTAAGTGTGGTTAAATACTCCTTCATGAACTACTTGGAAATATCTGGTTCTGGATGTTTTGATATTATCATTGTCTGAACTGTGTACAAGATTTATTAAAATTTGATTTTGCAAATGCCCACTTAAAATGAGTTTTGACAAATACACAGATTGGTCAAAACAAGCTTTTTGGAAATAACTGTGGATAAGTACTGAAAAAGGAACGGGGCTCTGTCTAGAGCATAGATTTTAATAATTCCAGTCCTATGGTGGTGAATCTCATGGTAAGTATTGCTACATGTTTCATTCTTTTTTTTTTTATTTATTCATTTTAAGATACTTCTTGACCTATGTTAAGCAGATAGTTATTTGATATTGTGCTTTCAAACAAAATCCTACCACAGGGACACATTTTTATTCTTTATTCCCATGTGAAGAATCTACTAAATGCATACTAAAAACAAACTAAACAGATAGTTTACCCTTTATATTTTCAGATCCAGGTGCTCACGGGAAATATTCAGTGGGTGACTATTGACAAGGGAGCAGAGACAAATAATTTGGGACTCAGAATTGGTTATAATACATGCTAGAACTAAATTGAAACACAAATAAGGACATTTTTCTATTTATGTTGCTACTAGTTTTTTTATACTTGGAAAACTCCTCAAAAAATGCCCTTACTGACCTTGATAGTGTTTACTGAGCAGTTCAGTTAGTTTAAATTGCTCTCTTATGAGCCATTGACTATCTTATGGTCAATACTTTGATTGCTGTTACCTTGCTGCATATAAAAGGAATTCTGCATGCTTTTAGGGAGCTGAAAGGAGTTCTGGAATTCACATAAATGGAACCAAATTAAGGAGTTGCCTATAGGGCTTGAATTTGTATTTTGTTTTTCATTCTAAAAGTCTAAATCTGTTGGTTATCATCTCTAGTGATTAGTCTTTACCCCAGTGAGCATTTTCTAATTTGTGTCTGTGAAGCGTTGTAATAATAGACTCATTTTTTGGCAGTATTTTGCTATTCTAGAGAAAATTGTCCTAAAGACAGCTTTTATCTTAAGAAATTTTTATAGATAATTGTACTGTAGTAGTGCCCATGTGTCCATTTCATTTAATGACTTGTTGTTCATCCCTTTCTAATACCTTTGCAGATCATTTGTTCAGTAAATTTCATCAGTATATCTGGAATTCCTTAGGTTTTGACATAAAAAGATTGTGTCATTTTCACAGTACCCAAAGTCAGCCTTAAGCCGGTTAGAATAACCTGAAACTGTGGCTAGCTGTGTACACTGATTTCAGTTCATCTCAAGATGAGAAAAAAAGTAATTTCAACTTTAATTAAAAAAAAAAAAAAGGTGAATTTGAAGACATATTTTTGTATCCCTGATCCTGCAGAGAGTGGTCCTTTTGTAACTGAAGGTCCCACCAGTGCATTTGTATCTGTTACTGATGGACTGCTTTCTACTATAGGACCAGAGATATCAAAGCCTGTCATAGGATTTGCAATTCTTAATTTAATTTAAATGGAAATTTCTTACATATCCCATACTGGAAATTAACAGATCTGGACTCTAGCCTTGTATTTGCCTTCAGCAGCATGCTTTAGATAGTGTTTTGCTAGGATTTCCCCACACTAACTTGTATTTACACACCCAAGTTTGTCCTCCCAGGTTCTGGAAGAAATCCTATTCAGTAGTACTTTAGCTTACTTCTGAGAACACTTGTTTTGTAGCTTCCGTCCCAGAATTGTTTACTAGAGAGACTTTTCTGTCCAGTGCAAAGACTGAAATTATTTCTAAGGGTAACACTTTATCTTAGTGTCTTGACTTAAAAATTCAGGTAGTTCAGCAGCATATAATGAGGTGGCTGAGTTAGCTGAGCTTCAGGAATTTCGAGTACTCACTCTGTCTTTTCAAAATTTTTTAGTCATGTGTATCACAAGGATTTTTTCAGTCGCATCTTCTTAGCTTCCTTTTTCCTAACCTAAGTCACAATCTGTAAATACTTGGCAGTTGATGAAAGCCCAGAAAGTCTGTTGTTCCACATGAGCACAAGTACCTTGCTGGTACAGGTCTTCTGAAGAAATCCTCTCATGTTGTCCGTGACTGTTTGTCCAATTATGACTTCTAGTCACTGCTGCTGAAGGGGATGTGTAGGGTTTTTTTGCTCTTGATCAGTGCTTTTGACAGATTCAGCCTTCATTTTTTTTGAAAATTCAGCTCCCAAATCCTTAATACTAAAGCAATGTTTGTATTTACTAAAACCATTTTCTTTGATTCATTTATTACAGTCAATGTAGTTACCTAAAAGCTCAGTCTTTCTGTTGTCAGTTTTAAGGAATGCTTTGAAGGTAAAATTAATCCCCTTAGAATTATTAAAAAATTGAAAAAAAAATAAGGAGCATGTTGATTTTCCCTTTATCTTTTGTGCTTTGGATTGGAAGTGCGTCTGGTTTTGCAAAGTAACAGTTCTTTGTTTATATACTTCTGATTTGTTACCATGGTAAATTTTGATCTCTGAGTTGTGGTCCCTGATCAGATCTGAACTTGCTCGTAAAGTCCCAGAGGACAAAAAAAAAGAAACCAAATCCCCTAAACCAAAACAAAATCATTGCACAATCATTCTGGCTCCAGGCAGTTGCATATTCTTTTAAAAGAAATATATCTATGCATTTAAAGAAGAGAGCTATAATTACAAAAGAGTATTGATTCTCTAGCATTGTCCACATGTGAGCTCACAAAACTGAAGTAGCACAGCTGGACCTCGGACAATCAAAAATGCAGAGTGTTTTAAAGACTCATTGGTGACCAAAAGTGTTTATTAGATGGCAGCAATTGGTTTTTACATGAGTCACAAAGGACAAGTCATCCTGTAATGGGTCAAAATTTTCTTCATCTTTTGTGGATGAGAACTGCAGTCATGTAAATTGCTGTTATCTACAAGTGATGTGGTAAATCTGGGCAGGAAGTCATTAGTAAGGGAATAGTTACAGTGATTTGCCTTAAGTCATTTCAATGCTTCTCATTACCTTGCCACCCTTTCCCTTTGTCAGTGATTTAAGATCAAGCAGAATAATTGAAAATAAATTCTTGACGGTACTTTGCTAATCCCCAGAAGAATTTTGCAGTATTTGTGAATATGTGAGAAGGTGAAGTTGCTTCATCATATTTACCTTTTCCCAGGCTGGTATGGGAGGCAGAATTGACCCATACCTGTCAGCATGAATAAACAAGTCAATGACTCCGGTCAGAATCCGAGTAGTTAATAATAATTAAATTTGTTTCCTCTGATATGTGAAAAAGACAAATAGACATAACCAAGATCTCCATAAACAGCAGACACTCTGGTGCGGAGCCACAAAGCATTGAGGCACCTGCAAAATTATAGGAGAGACAAATCTTGCTATTGACATGCAGTTGTGAGGAGGGCAATACCAGATTTACTTGATTATTTGGTTTGTAGTAGTCCTTTATGGTGTCTTTAAGTTCTGCATAACAGTCAGTGGGTATGGAGCTTCATGAGGGTTGATCAGTGGTCAAATCACCTCGTAGTGAAGTTTGTTTTGAGGAAGTGCAGGTCCCTGGCTTTTCTAGGCACATAGAACAGGGGTGATCACAAGAAGAATTAAGCATAGCAGCTATCCCAGTTCTATCACTGGTGTTACTGTAATTTTTTGAGAACTGTGTACTAAATGATTCTCAATTACCAAGTCTTGATGTGAAAGTATGCAGGACTCATTGTCAGCAAAGTTAGTGAAATAATACCAAGCAGCATGCTACACTTCATAGTGTGATGCATCATGCCTTTTGTAGGCTTGTGATAAGTAATGTCAAGGTAAATGGATTTCAACAGATGTCTTATAAAAACTTTAGGAAATCTGGAGGTATATTTGAAACTCAGATGTTTCTCAGGCACTGCATCTTGGTTTTGGCCTAGATTTATAAAAGTTTGTAATACGGTTTGTTATTTAACATCAATGCAAATATTCTTTCATCAAACCACATATGGTAAAGCCTTAGTTGTGGCCACATTCTCAGTTTGCTACTCAGCAAAATGAGAAAAAAAGCCTCACGAGCAGAGCTTTTCAGCCATACTAGATGGCACGAGGGAAAGAGTTAAGAGTCTAAAGAATAGGAAGAGCAAACATGAGTAACAAATCAGCAGAATCAGAGGAGAGCAAAGCTCAAGACTGGTAAGGTAAAACCTGCCATTTCTTGTGTTGTTTTTACTCCAAGCCATAAACATCTTGAATGTACTCAAAACTGAACTGGACAAAGCCTTGAGCCAAATTTAGTGCTGGCCTTACTTTGAGGAGGGGATGGATCTGATGAGCCTCAGGGTCCTTTCCAATTAGACCATTTTGTGATCCCGTGTAAGCAGGCACAGTAGATATGGAACTAACTTCTGTTTGCAAGAAATACAGAGGTACAGTAACTAATGTGCAAGGCTGCGGATACTATAAGCTGCTACAGAGAAAAACAATTAGGTGATTGTCAGAGTTCTGATAGGGATGTGATTTTGTCACTTCTTAGCTGGAATGGCAAAGGAAAAAAGTATCTCTTCTGCAACCTGAATTATACAGGGTGGATCCAGAATCAATTACTGGTCTTCGTTGGTTTTGTTTTACATTACCCTTTCTTCTAAATGAATTTGCTTCTAGTTGGTTTTAGTTTATATCCTGGGGTGCATCAAACACAATATAACCAGCCAGTCAAAAGAGGTGATTATGCAGCTGTATTGTGTATTGGTGTGGCCTCACCTGGAGTACTGTGTGCAGTTCTGGGCCCACAATTTAAGAAGGATGTGAAAATCCTTGAATGCATCCAGAGGAGGGCAGCCAAGCTGGTGACAGGGCTGGAAGCCATGTCCTGTGAGGAGCGCTAGGGACTTTGGGCTTCTCCTGTTTGGAGAAAAGGAGGCTGAGGGGCGACCTCATCGCTCTCTACAGCTTCTTGAGGAGGGGAAGTGGAGAGGGAGGGGCTGATCGCTTCTTCCTGGGATCCAGTGATAGGACGCGTGGGAGTGGTTCCAAGCTGCATCCAGGGAGGTTTACACTGGACAGGAGGAAGCATTTCTTTACCAAGAGGGTGGTCAGACGCTGGAACAGGGTTCCTAGAGAGGTGGTCGATGCCCCAAGCCTGTCAGTGTTCCAGAGGCACTTGGACAGTGCCCTTAATAACATGCTTTAACTTGGTCAGCCCTGAATTGGTCAGGCAGTTGGACTAGATGATCGTTGTAGGTCCCTTCCAACTGAAATAGTCTTGTCCTCTCCTCTCCTCTCCTCTCTTCTCTTCTCTTCTCTTCTCTTCTCTTCTCTTCTCTTCTCTTCTCTTCTCTTTTCATATGGCATTTCACAGAAGAAAGAAATAATTTATGTAATGGGTATTAGTTTTAAGTTGTGTATTATTTCTGTTATTTTCTAATTGTCACTAGTTTTCTCTTTTAATTTTCTTCTAGCACTGGAAACAAACATATAGGAGGAAAAATGGATCCCTTGTTTTGGCCATCAGAAACTAACAGCTTTCGACGTTTCACCCCTGAGTCCTTGGCAGCAATCGAAGAAAGAATTGCTAAAAAACCCCCTCAGCAAGCCAAATTTAACTGGAAGAATAAGGACGAAGGAGTTGAAGAAGATAAACCTATTCCTCAGCTTGATCTGAAAACCTGCAAAAAACTGCCATCTCTGTATGGGGATCTTCCTGCGGAGCTCATTGGGGAACCCCTGGAAGATTTTGATCCATACTACAGTGATCACAAGGTTAAAACTTTCGAAAGCATTTTTTTATTTAATTTTGTCTGCTGAACTCTTAAGATAGTAAAAGCTCTATTCAGGAGATGCTGGTTTTTGACTGTTCTGTAGACAAATCTTCGAACATTACTAGCATTTTGGGGGGTAGGAATGCTAAGGTATGCTCCATATTATGTAATGAAAAGGTATTTTAAGTTCCAGTCAGCAATCAGAATTAATTATGAAAACATGATATACTTGATAGCTACACTTTCATAGGAAGTATATTCTGGGATAACTGATGCTTTGTTTTCCAGAGCAGTTTCTATGACGTCTGTGGGGCTGAACTCACTGTCCTATAAACAGTGCCTGTCAAACAGTAGACCACACTGGAATTGCTGACTTACTGCAGATGCTTTTGCTGAATTACAAATATTATACAAATTAGGGGAGACATATTTGAGATATTTCCAGTACTCTGTGTAGCAAACCCATATATTTTCATTACAGTAAATTAATTTTCTGTTATTTTATGTCTCATCAGCTTTGTTTATTGTACCATATTTATATTGCATATACTTCATGCTATTGCAAAGTGTTTTGTGTTGTTGCCTATAGGAGTGCGTAAAGTAGATGCTCTAGGAATCCCTTCTAAATGAAATGTCTATTGTATGATTGCTTACTATTGAGGGGGACTTGACCTGAAGAGCAGAAGGTTCCATCCAGTCCCATGTTGCTCTCTTTTATGTATACCAGCAAGTCACTGGAATATAATAATTTAATCAGAGAACATGCAGAAAGCTTTGTTCTTCCAGAGATTTTTTTTCTGTAAGTAATCAAAGTGATATTCTTGATGAAGAGAAACTAAGGCTGATTTAGTTGAAGAAATTTACATAAAAGTTAGTGAACTGTATTTTTTATTTAAGATATTTCATTTTTACATCATGTGGCAAAAGTACTGAGCTGCATGGACCTTAAGATAGCTTAGAGGGAGTTTACAGTGTTACTTGATAATTTAGAGATATTTCAAAATTATCGTTGTAGCCTATAAAACTATCCAAGGGTAAGGTACTTTTGAGCATGATTACCACCACTGTTGCAGTCCTAGAATAGTATCCTTTAATTATTTTGACCAAGTGAATATGATCACTTGCTCTTCAAATGCATTCCCATTAATACTTCTTCTTCACAGGCAATAATGAAATTTTATATAGTTGCTGTCTTTCTTTCGAAAGTAGTATCATCAGCTCACAGCTCCAAGTAAGAATACGGGAAAGCTTTACTCGTAATTGAAATTAGATATAGGTCTAGATGCAGATATGAAAACCTAAACATTGAATTTTGGGGGAAAATTTTGTTTCATTAAAATATTTCATATACTATGAATCTTTTTTTTTATAGACCTTTATGGTGATAAATAAAAGGAGGACTATTTTCCGGTTTACTGCCACACCTGCCTTGGGTATATTTGGTCCTTTTAATCCAGTCAGAAAAGCAGCAATTAAAATTCTGACCCATTCATATCCTTTTATTGGTTTCCCTTATTTCAATTTTAAAATATACTGTACCATTTTCTGCCATTCTTTTCCTCTATTCATATTAATGTAAATGTAAGCTTATGTGTCTGTGATAGAGATTTTTTAAAAGTTATATTGAATCTTGTTTTACTACAGCTAAGATATTTACATGGTGTTGGTACAAGTAAAAATGTCAAAAAAGCTCATATTTAAAGTCAGATTTGCAGATGTTGTTATGAAACAACATTTAGAGGCTGCTGTATGATATTTTTGCCCTTTTCCAGAACTGTTTCTAAATCTCTACTGCGGTGACAAACTTAAATTAAAAAAAACCAAACCAAACAAAAACCAAATAAGTGACTCCCTAGTTATTAAAACATGAAGGATGTGATTTACAGCAATGCTTTGCTGAAAGAGTTTGACATCCGAAGAAATGTATTTCACACTCAAGTTCACAAAGTTCTGAAGAGCACCCATTTTTTATATTTTTTCAAAAATGTAAACGTGGTTTGAAGAATGTAAAAATGTGAAGGATCACAGGTGCAAAACTGTAGGCTGAGTTGTTCCTGCTCTTTCTGCCAAACATGTTTTCATTTGAAATTATTAATTTGTAGAAATAGGTCCTTTTATGGGAACTTATGGCTGACTTTGAATGTGTATTCATGCTATTAGAAATTACTAAATTTGCTGTTCAGTTTCAAATAAACCCTAAATTTAAGGCCAATGTTTGTTTTTAAAAAAGAAAAACCACGTTTATTAGGTGACAAATGAACTTTCATGAAAGGATGTTTTTTCTTAAGGTATTTTCATCGCTTGCCCCATAAAATGAGAAAGCTTTCTGAACTTGTGGCAGAGCATAGGTGTCTCTTGTAAGAATGTATACAAGGACTCCCAGTTTCAAAGAACACTGGTTATTGATAATTAAGCTTTTGTATCTGTTTTTTCTAGGCTTAAAACCCCTAGTTATTATGAGGTTATGGCCCATTTCTTTTTCTTCCATGCTCCTGCTAGGAAGAAATTGAGGTTTCTAAAGTTTCAAATAACAGTAGAGACAGCAGAGGACTCAGATTTTTTTTTTTCATTTCTTTGTGTTCCTCATCTCTTCTGTTAAACATATTATGTCCCACTAATGTCCTAACTTCCAAAACTATCCCAACATGCAGATAATTCATTGTTATTTTTAAATCGTGAAGTTTACCCAGCTGAGCAGAAGCTTGATCTGACATCAGTTTCTTTGGAAAACACACGAAAAGTCCTGAGCATATTCAAAACCAAAGTAATTATTTGAATATCTGTGTGGGTTTTGTGTGTAAATCAGCAACTTTTCTGAACTTTGTTTTTTATAATATAGCACTTTTTCCTTAACCAATTATTTACATTATTTGTTGGCTTTATTACATGTACTGTGGTACTCAATTGTGTTTCCATGGCTGTAAATAAGCTTCCAGAAGAACTCAGCTGGACTGAGTAAGTATCTCTGTTGCCATTTCTTCACTCTTTTTCTAAGGTTACTAACATGCTGGGCTGAAAAATTTAAATAACGTGGTGATCTAATTCTGGGGCTTGAAAATTCTCAGACCTCTAAGAAAGATTTTAGGATTATTATTATTATTATTATTATATCACACAGTCTTCTGTGGAGCTTCAGTGCCTCTTCTTAGAGGCTTACACCACATACCGTTTTTTCTACGTTGGCTAATTTTGCCATCTGGTGTAACATAGAAGGTTGCCCCATTTTTCCTTTTAAGGATTAAGCCTTTTAGAGAGACTGTGCAGCAGGATTCTAACTTAATATCTCTCATTCCAAGGCAATAAGCTGAATGTCTGTTATGGCCAACTCAAGCAAAAAGTATAAAGGGATAAATACTCATTCCATTCTTTTTTGCTGTTTCCTGGGGACACCCCTAGTTCAACTGTTCACATTAGGAAGCCATTTATTTATGATGTCTTGTTACCTTTTGTAATTGTGCGCTGTATCCAATGTAACTTGAGTTAATGTTCTGGAATTAAATCTTGAAAATGTGCCTGGGGCCTCGGAGGTTCTATAATTTTAATTCCTCTTATTTTGGGGTGAGCATGGTGATAATGATAGCTTAATTTTATGTAGAATTTCTTTCAGTTACAGAGTATTTGTCAGAATAAATGTATAAAATGTGCAAACTTTACAGGCTAAAATAAGTCTTTGCTGTTATTGTTCTGCCAAAATGTTAGAGGCTTTGATATTTTCCAGCCTGCTTTAGAACATAAACACTGTCTTAAAAATTATTCATAAGGAAATGGGAGCTTTCCTTCATCCAGAAATAGTATGGTATGCTTATGTGAACACTTGTGATTTTAGATTTGCATGGAAATCTTACTAAAATTCAGGAAAACATCTTCTTATACCTGTGATGTTTCTGCAAGTAATGTAACCTGTCCTATTTTACTTCACATTTTCTACCTTCATCTCCATCCAGTGACTAAATCATAGAACAGGTAGAAATGTGCCTGAATGTCTCAATCTCATTAATATTTTTATTTCTATAACTTTAATATATGTTTTCCTTCTCAGATATCTTTTTACTGGCATATATACCGGTGAAATATTGATAAAAATATTAGCAAGAGGATTTGTCTGGAATGAATTTACCTTTCTTCGAGATCCATGGAACTGTTTGGATCTTGTCGTTATTGTGGTAACGTAAGTAAAGCTCAGTTGTTCTTTTACACTCAAGGGACAAACATGCAAATTAAATGCTATTTGATATCGCTGAAGTTCTCTGGAGTGGTTGGCATCCTACCTGCTTAAGCGTTACTGTAGTTGAATCACCCTTTGCATATTTGCAAAGAGAAAGATAGTCATAGACCTTAAAGTAAGACCTAAATGCAAAGCTCATTTTAGAACTATTTGATTGTTCTCAATTTAGTATGTATTTAAATTTTGTTTAGAGGCAATTGCATAGGCAGCTGAAACCAAGCATGCCTCTCTATATTGTTTTAGTTGTACTCTGGATCAGATGAAACTAATTTGAGAAGGCTCCAAAGTGGGTCACAAGGTGTTGAGTGATATGGTGATAAATAACAGATGAAATCCCAAGAATGTAAAGTGATGCTCAAGGAAAACCAGACCTAGCTTTACATACACAGTTATGGGCTCTGAAATAGCTTTCACTTGTTGGGAAGACGATGTTGGATTTAAAATAGACAATCTTATGAAAACACCACTCCAGTGTGCAATCATGGTCAGAGAAGGAAATAGAAAAGAGGACATTATGGGTAAGAAATAAAGAAAAGAAGTAGAATACATAGTTATTTCATTGTGTGGCCTGTATTTTTCTTCAGGACTATATGTAGTTTTGCCCTTGACATCTCAAAAGAAGACAGAATTAAGAAAGATAGAGATGTATATCTTGTATTCCACATAATAAGAAACGAAATAGAGTAGAACTCTCATGAAAAAAATACAGAGCAGGAACATGGTTGAAGTCTGTGGCACAGAGCCAAAAAGAGAATAAATACTGTTGTTCTTTTTTTTTTCTCCTACGATGAGAGTTAAAGGCACCAAATGAAGTTGTCAGATGGCAGAATAAAAAAGAAGGTAGTAGTTTTTCACACTACATGTAGGCATATTCCCATAGGAGGTTGTGGATGCAAAAAACTTAGTTGTGTTCGGAAGACTTCTGGACAAAATCCTAGATGAAAACACATTAAGGGTTATTTTTAACACAAAAATACTATGTCTTGTTCGTGAAGTCCCTGAGCTATAAGTCTTCTGGAAGAATTCAATCTGGGAAGCATCACTGCCTTGATTCTAAACTCCCTTGTAAGCTTCTGTCGTGGGTCATTCTTTAAGACAGGGTAATAGGCCAGATGAATCACTGCTGTGGTCAATTTTAAATTCATATCAAAACCAGCTGGCTAGGTGGACAAGAAATGAGGAAGAAACCAAGTCAGAATTTGCATCTCAAATACAGAATGTTAATCTTGAAAACAAAATAGTCTTACTTGCAGCAGTGAACAGATTCACTCATGCCCAGTCTCAGAGCTTTCAAAGCCAATCTCTGTCATTTAGTATTTCTGAATAGTTTTCAGTTGTCTTGTTCTAATTTATTAGAGGTGTAGAGTAGTTTAGATTGGAAGGGACCTCTGGAGATCATGCGGCCCAGCTCCATGGACTAAATTAGCAGGACTAATTTAGATTAGGTTGCTCAGGACTTCATCCAGTCAAGTTCTGAGTTTGTCTGAGGATGGAGATTCAACAACCTCTCTGAGCAGCTCATTCCAACCACATTGTGGGTTTTTTTTCTCCCAAATATCTGATTGAAATGTCTCGTGTAGCAACTTACATCATCCTTTCATGGTGTGCTTGCAAGAACAGCCTTCTTCTCTAAGCCCTTACAGTGGGCAGCTGAAGACAGCAATAAGATTCCTGCTGTGTCACCCCATTAGCCTGCTCTTCTTCAAACTCAACAAATCCCATCCAGCCTAACAATTTAACTATATAATTGTCTTACTGCACACCCTTCGAGCCCTGGTTGGACCTGTGCCAGTATGTAAACTGTCTTTCTTGCCCTGGAGAGCCCAAAGCTGGACACAGTACTCCAGATTCAGTCTCAGAAATCACTTCCTTTAATGTATGGCTAGACTCCTCGACGTATGAGCTAGACTCATGTTAATCTAGCCCAAGACGTGATAAGCGTTCCTTGTCACAAGGGTGCTCTGCTCATTCATGCTCAATTTGTCTGCCCTGACACCAGGTCCTTTTCTGCAAAGCTGCTCATTATCCAATGTGCCCTCAGGTCCTATTTGTGGTCATGCTGACTCAGGTGCAAGACTTTGCCTTTGCCTTTGATTTTGCTGAACTTCATGAGGTTTCTACTGCCCATAGCTCTAGTCTGTCAAGCTCACTCTGCAGAGCAGCCTTGCCACCCAGCGTATTGACTGCTCCCCCCACAGCTTAGTATTTGTGAACTTGCTGACTGCAAACTGTATTCCATTCCTCAGGATATTAATGAAATTGTTAAACAGTATTGGCCCCAGGACTGACCCATGAGGGATGCCACTAGTAACCAGCTGCCAGCTGAACTTTGTCCCTTTGATCATAGCACGTAGATGCATGGATAATATTTCACTTCCACAGATTTTGACACTAGACTCAGGGATCTGGGAGGCCTGAGAGCAGACCTCACTGGTAAAGACCAAATCAAGGCAGCATTGAGTAGTTTCAGCTTTTGCATGTCCTTTGTCACTAAGTTCCCTGCCTCCTTGAACAACAGGCCCACAGTTTCCTTAGTCATCTTTTCACTGCTGATTTACTTAAAGTAGCCCTTCTCGTTGCCCTTCACATCCCTTGCTAGCTTCAACTTCAGCTGAACTTTGTCTTTGCTTGCTTCATTCCTGCGTGTTTGGCAATGTCTTAGTGTCCCTTCCCAGAGCTCTCTCTGCTTCAACCTTCTGCACACTTCCTTTTTGAGTATGAGATTAGTCAGGAGCTCCCTGTTCAGACAGCCTGGTGTTCTGCCACATCTGCTTGACTTTCTACAGAGTAGAGTGCATCTTTCCTGTGCTTTGAAGAAAATAGTCTTAAAGATCAAGCAACTGTTGTGGGGCACACTTATCCCTTTGGGGCAGTTTCAGATCCCTGAACATGCTGAAATCTGCTGTCCTAAAGTCCAAGATTTTTATTCTGCTGTTCATCTTGCTTACATCTCTTGGGGTCTTAAACTCCACCATCTCATGGGCTCTGTAGCAAAGGCTGCCATCAACTCTCTACCCCTGACTGTTTTTTCCTTATTTGTAAATAATAGGCTATGTACTCAGATGTCATCACACACATATATATGTATATGAACAAAGTATTCTTATGGGTAATCTATAAACCACTAAGGAGCTTACACATTGTTAATAATCAGTAACTATCAAGTAGTCCAACAGCTGTATGAACAATTTCATTTTATGGTCCTACTTCCCTAGCCATACTCTTAATTCATCGGTGTTCAAGCAGATATAAGCACTTTGCAATGTAGCATCTCCTTCTGGTTTTTTTGGTCCTATCATGCAACAAATAACAGTATTTAGAAATTAACTCAGCAGTTAACTCAAGTGCAGTTATTACTTGTGGTACTTGAGAATTATTTAATCTTACAGGCTAGTCAAAGCCATAGTGTTCTGATCTATTGCTCACAAAAGTCATGCTTTGAGTGGGAGGTCACCTAGATCACTTCCAGAGGTCCTTTCCCACCATTGTTTCTCAGATTCTGTTATTGAGACTTTTTATTTTAAGGAATTCTGTTACTAGTTATGACCTTGCCATAAGATGAGTCACAATTCATGTAAATTCTGACATAAGTCTTATAAAATATGGGGCAACCCCTTAAAGATAAAGTGCTGTATAGAATATGCAACTCTTAAAATCCTTATTTTCTGAAATTTTCAAATTGTTGAAACAATTAAATTGAAACTAGTTTCAATATTCAAGTTCTTAGCTGACTATTAAATAAAAGTTAGAAACACAGCCATGTAGTACAGAATTAAAATACTGTAAACCTAGTTTTGCTCAACTCCCTTCTCCTAAAGTATATATTGTGTAGTTTTGAGATAGCTGCAACATATACTTTCATGTGGTGTTCTAAATCAGATTAGCCTCAATATGAGAGGGTGTGGTTATGACATTGAAGGTTTTATATTTATTTGACATTTTGATGGATAAACACTTCAAAAGTTAAGCATCCAAATGCACACTAAGTAAAAACTTGCTGTGTTTCTTTTCAGAGGCACTATTCAAAAGTCTCATTATTTTACATCAATATCTAGAAATTGACTTAGATTCCTAACTTTAGACACCTACCTTAGGACATATTTGACCTATTTATTTTCTGTAATTTATTCATTACTGTATGCTCAATATGCATATGCTCTGAAAAGCTAGATCTTTGTCATTCAGTTATATGGTGCTTTAATTTTATAGGTATGCTACCATGTGTAAAACTGTGGGCAAGGTTTCAGCTCTTCGAACTTTCAGAGTACTGAGGACTTTGAAAGCTATTTCAGTAATACCAGGTAAGGAACAAGATGTCTTACTGATTTTCTCTCCGCTTCAGCAGTATGCTATTTCTAATTCCCCTCCTTTTCTTGTCTTCAGTTTTCTGGTCACTTTTTGTGATGATTCATGGGATCCCAAGGTGTGACTGTTTTGCAGTCTGCAGTAACTCTCAGCAGCATCCTAACAGAATATTTTTTTATCATCTTTCCTCAAAATTATTTTGACACAGGCAGATTTTTGTATTTTCTGCTTTTTCTAATCCCATCACTAATGTTCAATTTTACTTAGCCCAGTGCCTTTGTCTTTTTACTTTTGTCTTTCCTGAGCAGCACACCCTATTCAATATGTTGTCTTAACATAATGTGGCTATACCAACATATTTCTGGTTTCATGTTATACTTCATTACCTTAATCTTCTATGGTTTATTTCCCAAAATGCTGAGTTCAATATTTCAGAGTTTCATTGTTTTGTTTACTGACCACAACCACTATCTGGAGTGAGCATAATACTTTCAACAGGGTTTTGCATATGCTGTTCAGATATTCAATATTTAGTTGTGCCATGAATTAGGATACCAAAGTATGGATTTCAGAATTTAACTGCAAAAACTCATTTGAAAATCTATAAATGGCTATATATCCCATTGTCATAATATATATTAACTTTACCATTTCTATGTAATTACAAATAATTTTTTGATTTTGTTATGGAATTATAACAGGCATTAAACATAGGAAGTGTTTAGTTTTTAATGTCAAAACTGCCCATCAATACTTTTGCTTTGATATTCAGCATGGAGAACAGAGATTAAACGTAATTTTACTTTTTTCTTATGAAAGTCTTCTAGAAAAATCCCAGATATCACTCTCTGCCTATGTCATATTTCAAATTCAGTTATTCTGCCAGAATATTGGTCTTAAGTTTACATATAACCCATTTTCACAGAATCACAGTATGGTTGAGGTTGGAAGGGACCTCTGGAGGTCACCTGGTCCAAGCCCCCTGCTCAAGCAGGACTGCCTAGAACTGGTTGCCCAAGACCATGTCTGGACAGCTGTTGAATATCTCCAGGGATGGAGACTCCACAGCCTCCCTGGGCAACCTGTGCTGGTGCTCAGTCACCCTCACAGTAGAAAAGTGTTTCCTGATGTTCAGATGGACCCTCCTATGTTTCAGTTTGTGCCCATTGTCTCTGGTCCTGTCACTGGGCACCGCTGAGAAGAGCCTGGCTCTGTCCTCTTTGTACCCTCCCTTCAGGTATTCGTATACATTGATAAGATCCCCCCTGAGCCTTCCCTTCTCCAGGCCGAACAGTCCCAGCTCGTTTTTTCTCAGCCTTTCCTTATGGGAGAGGTGCTCCAGTCCCTTCATCGTCTCTGTGGCCCTTTGCTGGATCTCTCCAGTATGTTCATGTCTGTCTGGCACTGGGAAGCCCAGAACTGGACCCAGTACTCCAGATGTGGCCCCACCAGTGCTGAGTAGAGGGGAATGATCTCCTCCCTCAGCCTGCTGGCCATGCTTTGCCTTATGGAGCCCGGGGTGCTATTCACCTCATTTGTCCCAAGGCAACATTGCTGGCTCATGTTTAACTTGGTGTCCACCAGGACCCCAGGTCCTTTTCTGCCAAGCTGCATTCCAGCTGGGTGGTCCCCAACATATATTTGTTCCCTTCCCAGTGTCATAAATGTTCTTTTGTTTTTAAACTGGTGACATCTGTAAGGCATTATCTTTTAAGGCAGAATTCCCTGAGGTCAGCAAAAGTTATCCTTTATTGTAATGTGTATTTGGCACAACGTGAAGTACATGTTTAATGTTAATCAAGCACAGAAATCTGTCCATATTCATCACAGTTCATAAGAGTTTGTTTAGATGCCATCTTAATCTAGAATTTTCAAGTTAGCAAAATCAGTGTTGGAAGGAAGTAAAAGCCAAATAAGTCATGGTTAGGAAATTTAAGTAAAAATACTTTACTAATTCCTATGCTTTATTTTACCTCATTTAATACTCTGAGGTTACAAAACCATTTACACTGATTGTTTTTAACATACTTGCAACTGTTGCATATTGTCATATGGGAATGCTACTGCATTCCTCTTCTCATTTTTCTTATTATTGAATCTTATTTTTCTAGGTCTGAAAGTCATCGTAAATTCACTTGTTGAATCTGTTAAGAAACTTACTGATGTGTTGATCTTGACCGTTTTTTGCTTGAGTGTATTTGCTCTAATAGGCCTCCAGCTTTTTATGGGCAATTTGACATCCAAATGTGTCCTCAATAATACTATATACAATGACACGCTATGTAAGGATGCCAAGATATATATACCAAATGATGAAGGTAAATGTTATTCTTTTCTCCCTTTACATAATCTCTGTATCTTCCTATGTATGTCTTGTTTTTTTCACAGAGATGTTAAAATACAGTTGCATGTATTTCTCACAAGAAGGTATGTCCTTCCATTTGCACAAGTAGTAATATGAAGTCTCTTGGACAGCTGAATGCGAGATTAGTGAATCTTGGATTTGGAGAAAGATTAGCAGTCTGTGGGATAGAAGGGACTGAGTTTTCTATAAGCATTTGCTTCTTTACCTATGCACATTGCATGAGGATCCTAATTTTAGGGGTACGGTACTACACAAACAATTATTTTTTCCATCACTTACTTTATCTATATCATTCAGGGATTTTGCCTACTTCTCGCAGAGATTCTTATTTTTACCAGAGATCAGACAACATTGTGAGTTGTGTAGTTACTCTTTTTTTTTTTTTTTTTTTTTTTTTTTAAATTGCCATAGGGACGGATCTGCTGAGAAACAGCCCTATATGCCCTTTGTTGTGAAAGGAGTCTTTCACAGAGATTTCGTCCATAAGGGTATTTTTTAAAGTGCAGTATGAGTTTTAAAGTGCAGTATTACTGTCAGAGTGCTGTAGGAACTGACAACTTCTCATTTTATGATTCCTTCATATTTTTTTTTATTAGATATCTGCTACAGAATGAATAAATCTTCTGAAATATTGCTCTGTGGGTTCAGTTCAGAGCCCAAGTAAGTGAACAAAACAGTTTTAGTACTTTGTTATTTTTTCCCCCAGATGTACTGTGGTTTTATTTTTGGCCTAAAGGAATGGTGATGATTTTTCAGGAGGGTGGAATATGTGTGTGTGGGTTATTATATTAAAAAACAGATATTTCACATCAGAAAAAGAATGAAGTAAAGTACTAGGATGAGAGCAATTATATATGTGCTTTGTTGCTAAGCACTGGTAATATAATGGTAATGTAGAATGATATAAAGGAGGAGGGGAACAGATCAGTAAAGAGTTGTGAGATATTAATAAATTCTCCTCTCCTCATCTCAGTGAATTATTTAAAAGGAAATATGTTTCAATTTTTTCCCCTCTCTATGTATTTGTTTGCATGTGTACTACATCAGTGGAGAGTTTCTGTCTAGTCAGAAACTAGATAGAACTAGAGTTTCTGTCTAGTTTCTTTAACTAGATAAATGGCTTTCTAGGATTGTTTGATATAAATCAGCCCTTCTGGCAGAATTATATTGGGGAATAATGAAACGGACTTTCAGACAAACTGAGCAAATCTGTATTTGATGTTGTATACTGGATGCTTTCAGGTACAATCTAATAATGCAAGTAAGTATTATTTAATATTTCTTTTGTGGTTAGCAAAGAGTGCCCAGAAAACTACACCTGCAAGAAGATTGGGAAGAATCCTGACTTTGGTTATACAAGTTTTGATCATTTTGGCTGGGCCTTCCTTTCTTTATTCCGTCTGATGACACAGGATTACTGGGAGCGTCTCTACAGACAGGTAGGTACTTTTATTAGCTGCTGGAATGACTTTAGACATGCAGTTTAGAGCTTTATGTCCACTAGAAAAATCTGCACCTGTTTTAACATTACTGATACCAAATTTCTTTTAAAATCAACATAAATAGTAAGGAAGTAGCTTCAAGAGACGTAAGTTGCAACACCTTCTGCAAGTGATATTGGATGGGAGCAATCCTGCTGTGAATGCTCATAGCTTTGTTTGAGCACACACTTGGGTCAGTGATTAATAGTTAAATGTTAATGTGTAACTACCAAAGGATTGGGGTATAGAGTAGATCCCGCTAGTGAGCTCACTGCTGCTGCAGGGGATATGAGGATTTGTTACATACTCTGTTTCTCTTCCTTTTAAGTCCTGACTCCTCACCAAACCTTTTGGCTCAACGTACACACTTTCATTTCAGATCACTTTTGACAACTGGTACTAAAAAAATTTGAGCCTCTATGATTTGATTCAGAGGATTGAATGTAACTTTTAAATTCTGGTTTTTGACAAAAAAGATACAAAAATTGCATGTAGATGGATCCCTTACATCTATGCAGTGCCTTTGCTGGAAGGGAATTATCCTCTGCCTTGTTCTGTAACTTTCATATTGTCCTGGTTTCAGCTGGGATGTAGTTAACTGTCTTCCTAGTAGCTGGTACAGTGCTATGTTTTGAGTTCAGTATGTGAAGAATGTTGATAACACTGATGTTTTCAGTTGTTGCTCAGTAGTGTTTAGACTAGAGTCAAGGATTTTTCAGCTTCTCATGCCCAGCCAGGGCACCTGACCCAAACTGGCCAACAGCGTATTCCATACCATGTGACGTCCCATCTAGTTTAGGAACTGGGAATTGGGGGGCAGGGAATCGTCGCTTGGGGACTGGCTGGGTGTCGGTCGGCGGGTGGTGAGCAATTGCCCTGCGCATCATTTGTACATTTCAATCCTTTTATTACTACTGTTGGCATTTTATTAGTGTTATCATTATCATTATTAGTTTCTTCTTTTCTGTTCTATTAAACCGTTCTTATCTCAACCCAGGAGTTTTACTTCTTTTCCCGATTTTCTCCCCCATCCCACTGGATGGGGGGGAGTGAGTGAGCAGCTGCGTAGTGCTTAGTTGCTGGCTGGGGTTAAACCACGACACATATGCTCCACTTCAACTTTTTTTCCAGCAACCTTTATTAACTGAGATTTTTTTAAAATTAATACATCTTCTTTTTGCCATTTGGAGGTCAACTGGTTTTTAGTTTTTAATGTCTCAGAGCTTAATTTTGAGCCATCATTTGCCTGATTTGCTGGGAGATATTTCATTTAATTTTAAGAATGGATTTTGTTAATTCTTCTCTGCAGTACATGGCATCGTTATGAATGTTTGATGATCTGTTACATAAAAAGAAAATACTGTGTGATCACAGAGAAGTTTTTAAGAGCTGAAATTTATTAGCTTGAAGGCCAGGGGAACTCCTGACTAGATGTGTTTCTAGACCTTCTGTGTAACTTAGACCAGAGTTAGATCATACTGTTGTTTAATGAAAACAGTGCAGTACATTGACCTTTGGTATTGTATAGGAAAAGAAATTGTTTAAAGTTGATTGAAAATTCTGTTGTAAATGTTAGTTTGTTAAGAATTTATTACAACCTTTACCTTTTCCTCACAGACTATCCGTACATCTGGAAAGAACTACATTTTATTTTTTCTGGGTGTCATCTTTTTATGCTCATTTTATCTCTTCAATCTGATCTTGGCTGTAGTAACCATGGCATATGAAGAGCAAAATAGAGCTACTCTTGCTGAAACAGAGGCAAAGGAAAAATTACTTCAGGATGCCCAACAAATTCTAGAGAAAGAACAGGTTTGTAAATTATTATATCTAATATATAATGTGTGGTTCCTTTTGTTTTCTTCTGTTTGTGAATTAGGGAAATAAGGTTTTTAATTAAAAATGTGCTTCTTACAATACTTTTTCACACTTCATTTCTCTTTCTGTCTCTTTATAAATATACAGGTGTATGTGTGTGTATATATATATATATATATAAACATTTCTGTGATACAAACAAACAGCATGAGTCCAAGTTAAATCATATTAAGTGTGGGGATTTGCAGACCTGGCATTGTATAGGAATGGCTTGCTGGCAAGCGTATAGCTTTTATGGTATTGCACAGGTGCCTGCGCTCTGTGGTTTGCCTCATTCTTGTACACTACCACTACTGCTGTGTACAAAAATCCATTTTTCTGGATATTCCTTCTTGCTGTTACTGCATAGTCTGATGAAGGAAGTATGAGTGGATAAATTTGCTTCCATAAGAAAAGCTGTCATTTCTACAGTTCCCTGAGATTGGAAGTTCTGATGCTGATAGATTTCAGGATTGATTAAAAATGCAAGCTTTCTGAGAGCCACTGTGCTCAGCTGTCTAAGGGGTGTCATGCCTTTTTTTTGAGTGATTGCATGCAGAAGGTCTACCAGTTGACGAGAGCAGGAATGGCCAGGCTAATACCATTAGTTCCATATTAATGTAGAAGGACATCCAGAGACTGCATTAGTTTCTTTGCTGTTCGTTTGGAGAGCTAAGAGACACAGATCAGATTTCTACAGTGTTTCCTCTTGGCCCAGTATTGCCTAGATTCATTCATTCCTTGGCCTGTATGGGACCAGGGATCACCTTGTTGTTTTTATTCTATTTCTGAAAAGTGAAGCTCTGAGCTGAGGCAACAAGATAGATTGAAAATTATTGTTAAGACATATTTTATCTTCTAACTTTTTATAAAAAATACCTCTGATATACTGCTAACAATTAGAAAAGTCCAACTTGTAAGAGGACATACAAATATTCTCTAGCAACTATCCAATTTCATTGTTAAGGTGAAAGGCATCACCAGTTTACCAAATTCCTCCTCTACAGATGTTGACAGGCCTGTAATGTTTCTCTGTCTGAAATTCCAGCTCGCTAAGCTTTACTTAGGCTTTTCTTCCTTCTATTTTTCTTTCAACAGGATTAATAGTTAAGAAAGGTTTAACATTTAAGTATTTAGTTTGAGCCCTTAGTCTTCTGTTGTCTTTGGGCTCAAGGTCCTTTCCAAAGCAAGAAAAGAAGAGTAAAAGGATACACCCTAATATTCTGTAATTCAGATAAAAAATACAATATCTAAAGTGGCAAGGACAAACTTTAATTACAGTAGCTGATAAGTAACTCTGCTTTATCTTTCAGTATTGTGAATAGCATTTTGTACTCCTATCTTTTTATAGTAGTTGAGTATTTGAAAGGTAGGAATTGTTAGTGCAAAGCATTCAGATAGCATAATTATTAAACAGTATATGATCCTAGCCCATGCATTGGCATTTGCCTTGTATTAATAGACAGACTTGCTGTTTCTTTTACAGATGTTGGCTGCGGAAGAAGCTAATAAGGCCTTACATGTCAGATCTGAAATGGCAGTTGCTGACTTGAAAAATTCAAAAGAAAAAGAGATGAAGAAAGAAAACCCTATTTTAAGACAAAACTTAGTTTTGGGTGATCATGGCAAAGAGGAACACATATTTAATTCACAGCCTGGTCACTGCCACAGGAAGCTTGTAAGTATTCAAAAAAGAAGATATATTCATTAGACTTGCATGTGATATGATAATTTGATGAGCAGAAAAGCTTTCTATTTGCAATTCCCCCCCCCCCCCTTTTTTTTTCCCTTCCCCTTCTTGCATGTATTGGATTAACTTGTTTTTTAAAGCAACCTGAAAGTTAGATTTTGGGACCAGAGGAAGACAGCACTATATGGACTTGAAAGGAAAGTTTGAAGTGGCTGAAAGTAGCATACTTATGACCATTATAACCCTCTACACTCGGCACCTCTGTTGTGCTACGTGGACAAACATATAATACCCTGTAAGTTTTAGAATTTCCCTAATAACCTTTCTTTTTCTGTACACACAGCTAGTTCTCTGGCCTAACTATTTAGGGTTAGTTTTAGTTCAGTATGAAGACTTCTCATGTTAGGGGCATGATTCACTTGTCTAACTATAAACATCTGGTGCCATTTTAGATGTTCTTGGACAGGTTGGATATCCTGGATATCTTTGGCATCTGTGGCACATCTTCCAGCACTGTGTGAATATCTCAAATACATTATGACATCTCAAATGTTACTAAATTCCTAGATTTAGGCAACTGGATTGTGCTCCAGGTGTTTGTTTGCAGGCGTCTACATGTGATTTGGGTTCTAAACTCCCAGAGTTGAATGGAGATTTAATTTTTGGGGTCACAAATTGATACCTAGTGACACTAGAGGATTTCCGGAGAGTCTTACTTGGCCTCCACCTACTCTGCAGAAGGGTACAGACATGATGTGTCATGCCTGCTTAGTCTGAGACTGTGGATGTCTCAGATACCAAATGTCTCAATAGACCATCTCAAATGGCTTCAGACACTTATGTTTAAGTGAATCAAACTTATCAAAAAAATATGCATCAATTATAATGGGATTTTAGATGCATTGTGAAAATGGACAAATTAAATGTGGATGTCTGAATATTAGGCTGAATCCCACACATGCTATTTCACATCTTGATTACAGCAGTGACTTCTGTCTCCTCTGCTCATCCCTACTTTCTAAATCCATTAAGAAACTGCTATTAAGACTTGCAATTTTTACTTTGCTGAATCTTGGGGGTTTTTCACAGCACCTTTGACACTGGCAAAATATCGTATATCTCATGGACAGTCCTTACTATCATGTTACCAATGGTCCAGCATCCATGTAGAGTATAGATTTGTTACCTTTTCAATGCTTAGTCCATGTGTGTGTCTTCATTTGGCACGACCAGTGCATGTGTGACTGCACCTGGGGTATTGTGTTGAGTTTTGAGCTCTCCAGTAGAAGGATTATGTTGAGATATCATGCAAAACCAGTAGAGGCTGCCAAGGTGATTAAGGGGCTGTAGAACATGAGGTGTCAGGAAGCGTTGAGACGTTGGGTTTGTTCAGCCTGAAGGAGAAAAGGGAAAGGGAAAAAAACTGATTATTGCTGCCTACTAATATATTATGGGAGTGTATAAAGAGGAAGGAGCCAAGATCATCTTACAGGTGCACAATGGAAAGTCAAGGGGAACAAGTTGCAACAATAGAAATTCTGATTAGTTTTTAAGGGGAAAAAAAATATCACTGTGACAGAGGATAAACATTAAAACAGGTCATCCGGAGAAATTTTTGGATCTTTGTTTTTGGAGATATTCAGAAAGTAGCTGGAAAAGGCCCTACAGGTGAAGTTTGCCCTGCTTTGAGCGGTGGAGTGGGAGGACTTCCAGAGGACCTTCCCAACTTTAATCTTTCTCTGGTTCTATGTAGACCTCCACATTTAGATGCCAATATTTAGATATTTTAATCTTGAGTTGCATCTTCCAAAATAATTCTCAGGCAATTATCCATATTACTGTGTTATTTTCAACAATATCTAAAAAGAAAGCTTTTAATGCCCTTATACTGGTTCAGCAATAGCCATTCTCCAGTACAGGCTTGTGACTTATACCAAACAGGGTCCACTGGAAAAACAAATAGTGCAAAAGTGGATGTTTGTGTCCAAATAATACCTTGACTGAAACCGTGGTTCCCGGTCACACCTTTGATAATGCAGTCTGGAATTTCAAACCAGTCTTCATTCACCCTCTCAGATGTGTTTCTTCCTTCCATTTCTTAGGTGATCAATTACTGTGACTGAGCAGGGTCTCTCAATATGGAGAGCTGGGAATCATCACCAAAACATACACTGTTCATTTTGATCTTATCCCTCACCCCTGTCTCCCAACATATTTTCTATGACCCCCCCCGATAGTTTGTTCCATCTCGTGACAGATTCTCTCTTGCTTCTGGGAGAATATCAGAATTGTTCCCACCCATTTAATAGAAAATGGAAACTGTCCAGTCGCAGAGCTAAAGGAGTAATGGCCCAACTTCCTTCCTTTTGAAAAGTGTCCTTGTAGGGGAGTTTTTATCAGACATGTCATCCTAGCTAAAATGGATTAGGTTTTCATTCTGGCAGTCAGCATGGTCAGAATTTCTTCTAAATTCCGTGATCCTAGCTATATTACATTATATGTCCGAGCCGAAGGAGTCAAAATCATCCACTTGGCAGCAACTGCCATCTGTCATCTCCTTTAGTATAGTATTTGCTTCTTATAGAGTGTCATTAATGTTTCCCCTGCTGTGTTAAGAATATTATGCCATTTTGTGACCTAATTTGGTTTTGCTGTACTTAAAAGGAACACTGTGACACAGTCCATGGTAGTGTATTATTATACGTATTGAGGAAAAAAAATGTCTTTCCATAGCAGGTGTCATATCTTCTATAATTATAAAAATCAACTCTTATGGCTGTGTATCCCTATTTAATTTTTTTTCTTCTAAGTCTGTGACTGTGTTGCAGGAGATGACTGAGCCAGGAGATAAATTTGGTTTAGTTCCTAGACATTACTTCTCCAAGGCTGCAAAATCTGCACAGGTTGGATGCCAAAAGCAGTCTGTATTTTACATTTCAGAAATAGCATTTTCAGACCCTTCCGAAGGTCCCTTCCCCTCTCTGTGCAGAGAATGGCAAACTTATGAATATCTCTGTATAGGAACTTTAGAAAACAGATAATAAATAGCATTAGAACCTGGTACAAGAAGTTAAGTGGAACCCACTTTTCAGGATTATATTCTGCAGAGTTTAAACTACGTTGCTGTACTTGCTAACAGGTGCCTCTACACTATCTGCATGAAGAATTCCAAGACCCAAGTCCAGGTAACAGTGACTGTGTGAGATCCTGGTTGTAATCTTATGCTGTTTTACACAAATTTACAGATGATCAGTTGACAGCAGAAGCAGCTGTTTATCAGTCAAGAGCATTCTTCAAGATGCATAGTCCACCCGTACACTCACTTCCTCTCACTACCCTACATCACAGTTCTCACTTCGTCCTACAAATGTTGGTATTTCATATTTAAAAAAAAGAAAAAAAGGAAGGCCTAGAGCATGACCCAAGCAGCGTGAGCTGCTCTGATGTAGAGTTCTACCATTAGTCAAACAAATATAATCTGCAACAAACATGGCAGTTTGTTTCATGTCATGGCAACTACTGGTAGTACTAGCTCTGCTGCAACTGAGGACTCTTCAAACAACGTACTCTCTGCTTTAGTCGTAAAAAGAGGCTAAAGATGCTAAGTCAAAGAGAAAAAAGCGTATTGGGTAGAAACTCTTTGGTAGGACCTAATCAGTTCTATAAAAACTTGAATGGACTGTTTGTCTAGTGCGTATCCCTATTTTAAATCCTGATTTGTCAGAGGACTCCTCATCACCAGTTATTTACTTCAGCTAAAGATAGATGAGCAGCAGTAACCGCTTCAGTGTTGATGAATACTCAACCTTTTTGAAAACACTAACTCTGAACGCTTCTGAACAGATGTGAATTTCAACAAGAAGACTGAGGATTTTAGTCAGGCTGGCACACTAATTTTTCTAGGTTTCTCTCCTCTGAGACCCCAAGCATTAGAGAAATGAATGAAAGGTCAAGTTGCACCGGTAACTGGGATGTGATTAGAATAGTCTAATTGAGTCTTTTAGATTCTGAAAAAATACAGATAGATAAATGAACATTTTAGCACTGTATTATAAATTCATTTTATATGTCTGTTCTATGACAGTTCTATCAGCTAAGTTTTGCTTAGCTTTTCAAGTCATTAAAATACCAGAGAGACAAAAAGAAATAATTATTATTAAACCCCTTAAGCCAAGGATATCAGTTTCATTCCCTGAATAACAGTTTTATAGAATATGTTCATAAAAATCATATTGTAAAAGTTTGAAGTAACGATATGACATATCTTTACTTATATACCCTCCCCACAAAAAGAAAATGAAACAAATCAAGTTGTGCTGAAAGGGAATGCTAAGGTACCGTGCATTATGATGTGGTCAGTCAGTAGCTCCCTGTCAGCTGGTAGTTCTAATTATGTCCTTCCTGATACTGGAATCTTTGTTCTCTCTGTTTTTCTCTACCTCAGAGTCTGACCTATTCGTTGAAGCCCATGTTTTACAATTGTCTACTTAGTCTTTTAAAAGTGTGTGTGTGTGTGTCTGTGTGTGGGCGGGTATTAATGCGTCATGAGCTGAGTCTTTGATAATAATTCAGTGGTCTTATAAGATACAGGTGTTGGCCTGTCCTTCAGTGCACATCAGGAACACTGTATTTAGCATCCTGTAACTTCTAATGAAAACAAAAGTAGTCCCATTCCTAGTTTTAGGCAGTTCAATATTAGTATAGCTCTTGATAGGCTTAATAGGGCTGGGAAAACCAATACTTTTGAGTCACTAAATAACTAATCTTAATGTTAATAAATATTTATTATTTATTAATAATCAATATTTCATAATTAAATAGCCAATAATTTATTCAAACTGATTGTCAGTGTTCTTTTTGTATGTACTTTTTATCAGTCACTGGAAAGATGGAATGATTTTTTTCCTTTGCTCCCCATTAATGGTTCTATACTTGTATAATGGCATTATCGTTGTTTAATATTTTCAGAAGGAAACAACTTCTTGAAAAATATTACTGGTTTTGATGAAATATCCTTTGCCTTCAAAGGCAAACACATGATATTGTTGTGCTGTTTTGTTTTACATTCTTTCAGCAAGGTAAGGCTTCATTACAATGTGTATTTAAAAAGGCACGTTTACCTTACACTGGACGTAATTTTTGTATTGCTACTTAATCATATTCCCTTGTTATATTATCTTCTTTTGTCTTTCTGACCAAAGAGGCAGATACTGCTGTCCTATGAATTGTCAGTGGAGTCTATTAATGATCCTTTTCGAAGACAGAGGTTAATGAGTGCAGCCACTGTTATTACAGATAATTTGCGTAAGTCATTCTTTAGTGTTTTTCCTATGGCGGTTGTGTAGCTTGACCTAAGAGGTCAAAATGTCACAAACAGTCAGCATTATTTTAAAAGTCACTAGGGGAAATTATGCTGCAATCAAATGTAAATTTCAGTAGAATAAATATTCTCATATCTCATGTAACTGCAACTGTAACTTGCAATTACCAAGGGTAAATCATGCCTGACCAACTCGATTGCCCTGAACAATAAAATGACTGGGGTTTGTGGATGAGGGGAAAGCAATGTTTTCATTTACCTTGACTTTAACAAAGCTTTCAATGCTGTCTTCCGCAGTAGTTTTTCATCCAAGTTAGGGTGTTAGGGTCTGCATGGGTGGACAACCAGCTGGACAAAAAAATGGTTGGATGCTTGTGCTTCCAGTGTCTGGTGAACAGGTCATATTTGTTCTACCTGGAGGCAAGTAACAAGTGGAGTACCACAGGGTGTATCCTAGGACACATCCTATGTGACCTGGAGGAGGCAACAGAGGGCTTGCTCTTAAATTTTGCAGATGACACAAAATTGGGGGGGAACCACTTGATTTGCTGGAGGTAAGGGCTGCCATCTAGAGGGACTTAGACAGGCTGGAGGAATGGGCCAACAGGAACCTTATGAAAATTCAACCAGAACAAATGTAAACTTTGGCAAGAATCTCTTGCAACAATAGAGGCTGGGAGCTGGCTGGCTGGGAAGCAGCTCTCTGCAGGAAAGGCCCTGTGGGTCCTTGTGGGCAGTGAGCTGAGCATGAGCCAGCAACATGCCCTTGCAGCAGCAATGGCTAACAGTATCCTGGACTATATTAAAAGGAGCAGAGCCAGGAGGAAAGTGATTATCAGCCATTATTAAGCACTTGCTAGAACACATACTATGCCCATTTGACCCCCCAGCCCCTCCAGTACAAGAAATACATTGAGTTCAGTAGAGGGCCACCAAGTCAGGGGCTGGAGCACTTGTCCAGTGCTGGGCTGGTTCAGACTGGAGAGAAGGTTTTGAGGGGAAGATAATACCAGTCTTCCAGTGTGTAGGACGACATTATCAAGCAGGTGTAGCCAGGCTCTTCAGAATGGTGCACAGTGGGAAGAGGAGACAACAGACATAAATTGAAAGAAGAGAGCTTCAAACTGTGTGTAATGAGAAGCTTTCACCATGAGGGCAGTCAGACAGAGGAACGGGTTATGCCGTCTCTGACCTCATGGCTGACCCTGCTTTGAGAAGGGCATTGCACTAGAGATCTCCTAAGGTCCCATCCAACTTGACTTATCTTACAACCCTATCCTCAACTATGGGTACCAAGATATAGGGAACACCCTTCTTCATTTTATCATGGACTTTTTTTTCAACCCATGCTGCATCTGTGACTGCACAGATATAACTCAGAGAAAACAAGTTGTCAGTTTCCCAGAGACAGTTATTTCTCCTTAATGCAGGTCCTTTATCATCCTTCAATAGTATAATAAACATATGAAGAGGTGGGTAGTATCACCTGTTTCTGTACTTGCGAGGTTTGTTGATGGTGACCTTTAAATAGCCTCTGATTAGTTTGTGTAAAATGAGCGAAACAATTTTTTTCAATGATCCCATTCTGCTTACGAGATAGATTTTTCTTTTCCATCTTTTCTATGACTGATTCTCTTTTTCTTCATACTATGATATTCCACATAAGATTATTCATGTCACTTTTCTTCTTTGTCATTTAGAACTGCAAGAGTCAAAACTGAAATGCCCTTCATTATGGAAACGTTTTGCTCAAAAGTATCTAATTTGGAATTGCTGTCCATTCTGGAGAGCAGTCAAAGAGAAGGTGAAATTGGTAGTTTTGGATCCATTTGTTGATCTCTTAATCATGGTTTGCATTATTGTGAATACCGTATTCATGGCTCTGGAGTACCCTGACATGCCACCCAACTACCGACAAATGATTTTTATAAGTGACAAGGTAAGTTAGGTCTGTATTAGAATGAATATGGAGTTATAACCCCATATTTATACTGGGGCAGTCCCATAAGGAGACATACTTTTTCAGTGACTTTTTGCTGAGTTTCTTTTTCGTCTTTCCAGGTCTTCACCCTGATTTTTACAGCAGAAATGATCTTGAAAATCATCGCTTTAGATCCTTACAACTATTTTCAGCAAAAATGGAATATTTTTGATAGCGTAGTTGTTATGATTGGCCTAATAAGCTTTGAAGAAAATCTGTCATTTTTCAGGCTGGTAATTATGTCTTTATTCTTTTTTAAAAAGTACATGTGTTGTATAGATTTGTAAAAGATTACAGTGAAATACCCTCTAATTATTTTACTGATGTATCGGTTAAATCAGTTCTCTTTGTTAGTAAATAATAAGCCAACATGAATATTTAATTAGAGTGAATATTAAATCAATATTAAAGAATACATTCAATATGTTTATTATACTGTGTATATTGGATACTACAAATCCTCTAGGCGCAGTGTGACCCCTTGGAGATTCAACCTAGCAGAGAGTTCACTGGTTCTCTGTTAGGTCTGTACAGTGGCACTGCTCAACTACATTTCAGATCTTCAATTAGGAAAAGATATTATCTGAGTGTTGTCATGAGCTTAAGGATAGCAAAGGTTCCTTCACAGCTTTTGCTTTTGAGTTGATGTTTGTAAAATAACATAGCCTTCCTCAAGGGTTAGACTTGGCCTTGAGGTCTCCTCAAGGCTTTCCTCCATCTTAGGGAAAAGGAGGAGTAGCTCTGGGATGTCTATGTATAATGTTACTTTTTTGTTTACGTTCTTACTGTGTATTTAGAATGCTAAATTTACTAATTACTTCTAACATTCTTCATAGCTTTTCATAGTCATCGCACCTAGAAATTCAGTTGAATTCTGTGTCATCTTGTGTATCATGACTGAGAGATTTTAACAGCCCTGAATACTAATTTGACTAAAAATGTCCTTTTACTCATGAGGCTGCATAGAATAGATCCCACCTGGCTCTTCATATCCTATTTTAAGTCTGTTGGGTGAGAGGTAGAAAAAATTCTTTTTTCAAATTTCGTCTGATTACATTTGATTTAGTCCAAAATGCAGTCATTTCATAGGCCTCGTCGAAGTACCTATAAGCCACTTGATTATTATTACTATTATTGTTATAGCTATTAATACTAATAGATTTACACATGCTCGTATCTAACTTAGCACAAACAATTTGAAAGCTTCCTTTGGCAGTTCTCTGTTCTCAGTAACATTAACAATCTCAGCTTAAGCACAGCACTTTTGGATCAGAACAATTAAAAACCTTTCTTTGGGGGAAAAATTACGATGGTGTTACTGAAGTAAAGACAGCATGATAAAAGCAGGGTCTGTTTTTTTATGTGTGCTGTGCTATCTGTGCAGTGTCTGCTACTCACATAGTTCTCTTGTGTTTTACTTACAGCTCAGGATCTTCAAATTGGCAAAATCCTGGCCAGCCTTAAATACTCTTATGAAAATAATTTTAAACTCAGTTGGTGCTCTGGGTAACCTCACTCTGGTTTTGATTATCACTGTATTTATTTTTGCTGTAGTAGGAAAGCAGGTTTTAGGCAATTATTATAAGACTAATTACTGTAAAATAAACACCAATCCGGATTTACGCTGGCATATGAAGGATTTTTGTCATTCATTCCTGATTATATTCCGAATATTATGTGGAGAATGGATTGAAACGATGTGGGAATGTATGGAAGTGGCTGGAAAAGAGCTATGTCTTCCCATTTTCTTGCTAGTCCTGGTAATAGGAAACCTGGTGGTGAGTTTCAAGCTATTTTTCAGTCCCTACTGAAGGTATCCAGTTACACTGGCATCTTTTTTTCTGACACAAACTTTATCATTTGGAAAGTATTCACACTATTCTCTTTTCTGGATGTTACTTAATACATGTTTTTCTTCTGTCTTTTTTTTACTTATCCCCTGTCTTTCTCTTTCTCACACAAGAGGTAGCTGCTAAGTAAAATAAAATTATTCCTTCTATCCAGAGTATAGAAGTGCAGTGCTTTTGATAATTTGGTGTCTGCTTTCTTCATCTTTTGTGTTGCTTGGATCAAATAACCAAACTGTTCAGTGCTTTTAATGCTGGCCAACTTATCCTTATATTATCAAAAGTTTACAGTACCCAGATTTTCTGGTTTGTATGACATATACTAGATCTAGTGTTTATATCCTGGAAGATGGAATCTTTTTCATCTGCTTGGTTTGTTGGTCTATACCAGAACCTTTTTGATGGTGGTGTTATTAAAATGTATCTTTGTCTGCTCTTTTTCAACATATCTACCTCCTCATACATTATGGACATCAGAGCGTGTGAAAATATATTTGATATACCCACACCCTCACTTCCTTCCTTTTTCTGCTGCCATTCCTTCCAGAAGGAGCCATATCATACTGTATTAATATTCCAGTATAATAGTAAATAATTTCAATGCAGTAGTTGATGAAAGCAAGACTGAGATTTTTTTTATCTAAAGAAGGTTTTCTGAAACATCTTTTCTGTTAACAGTAGTGTCTCCAACTTCCTTTAACTATTTTAAGGTGCTCAACCTATTCATTGCCTTGCTGCTGAGTTCATTCAGTACTGACTCCTCAATGGGACAAGAGGAACCTGGACAAATGACTAAATGTCAGATTGCCATTGCACGGATTCACAAGGGCTTGCAGTCTGTGAAGGACAGAATTTTGGATCATTGTGGCAAAATAATGAAACAAAACTTCAGAACAACAGCCAAAAAAAAGACTTCGGTGAAAATGTCTGCCAAAGACATAGGGGAAAATAACTATACCATGACAGATGTCAGAAAGGATGTAGGCAACAATTGCTTTGACATAGGGTATTACAATACTGAAGAAAGTTCCTCAGTAACAAGGAAATATGAAGAATTTTTAACAAGTCCTAGTAGCTGTGTTCCCATTGCAGTAGCAGAGACTTACGATGAAGGTGATGATAAGCACAGTGTATGCACAGAAATAGAATACAGAAAACAGGTAAGAAATATTAATATTTGAAAAATTATTGTAATTTGCATCTGTAAATGTAATCTTGAAGACTCAACAGTAAATGTTATCCCTTCTGTCATTTCTGCCATTTTACTTTCTTTGTTCTAGTAGCTTCAAAATGCAAGAGCTACCAAATAGTCTTAGTTATTCAATAAGAGATATTGAATATCCACTTTTTTATCATTCTTCTCACTGATAGCCATAATTCTGCTTTTGTCTGTTTTGTTTCCATTTATTGCTGTCAATTGCTAAATGAAGTTTGATCAAGACAGACATTCTTTCTTTTTGTCTCCTTTGCCTTACAGATGGCACCTGGAATTTTTGGAAGGCAGGCCTCTTGTGTTGCTTATAGGTTGCTTCTCAGTTGCATGGAATCCAAAGGGAATGCAAATAAAAGCTTCACCTTAAAAAAATATTTTCTTAATGTTTTTTTTAATCCCCTATTCACCTCTATGATACTTTGGACCCCCCTTTATATCTCTTGATTTTGTTGTGTTGGGCAGGATTAAGCTCAAGTCTTAGGCACTTAAATACAGATACCCAAATACAGATTTCTGCATGTGAACGAGGTGTTTATGCTGCCATGATAGTCAATAACGGTGCAATTCATTTGCCCGTATGTAAGCATTTAGGATATTTGAGATACTTCAGGTGTCTGTCCCATCTGCATGGGACTGACAAATAAGTCATAGGAGCTATAAGAACTCTTTTTGGCATCTGGAGGCCAGGGGTATGTAGAAACACCTCAGATGACACTAGGTATCAGCCACAATTAGATTAATCCATTTAGATGTCTGAATCTCAAGATTCCACATATTACTCACCTCATAGATGTCAAGTACCATTTGAGGTGCTGGATTATCTCCTATGGCTTCTAAATGCACCTCCAAAAAGGTGTCTAGCAGTTTCTGTAGATCTTGTGCTGTATTTAACTATGCCATGTGTATGTCTTAGGTACCCCTAGGTATCTTAAAAGACACTAAGCAGTTTATGGTGAGCAACTGAATTAAACCCTTTGTGTCCTCAATGTGTTCAACAGTGTCCCTTGCTGCTTGTCCATGTTACTTGTATGTTGCCCACTTTTGCACTGCATGTTTTCTCCCATTTTGCTTTCTTGATTATTTTTTTCCTTATTTTTGCTTTCTTTTCTTCTCCCTAATGACGTGTTATACTTTTAATAAAATGGAATTTTACCTGATTACTTTTCTTTGAGGAGGTTAATGTGTCTTAATGAAATTCGGTTTGTGACAGCTTCATTACTTTTATTGTATGTGATGTGATTGCTTAGAAAGGATATGAATGCTGATTTGAGTATGATGAGCTATCTGCATCAGTGCATTTTAGTTCAGAATCATTGGGTCATGCTCCAAGATTCTTATTCCTGTATAAATATTTTTGCCTATAGAAGGTAAGGGTGATACCTTTTAGCCCTCTGACAGTACTGCAGCTGTATATGAAACATCCAACTGTAGTTTCAGCTCAGCTCAACGCACAAGGACCTCAAGTTAATTTCTTTTAGAAGCCTGCCTTATTCACAGCCAGTAGTAATAAGAAGCAGCAGACTCCAACATATCTTCCGTACAATCTTTTGTCAGAAGGTGAACAAAGAAAAATATTAACCCTTCTCAGACCTCTACTAAAGGAAGTACCAATAGAAGCTGGCTTATTCAACAGAAGAATGAGCTGTTTTGCAGGTTCTTCACATAAAGCAAGATAGAAAGCCTCTTACAGAAAGTAGCTTATGATTTTCATTTAAGTCTTTTTATTAATTTCTGCTTATTTCTCCATCTACCACATTCAAGTAGGAATGAGCTTTTCTAAGATGTTGCAACTGTACTTTTTTCTTCATAGGTAGAAGTGATGGTGTAAGCGTGTGGCATTATGGGGTTTAGCTCATCTAAAAACCACATCCAAATGTGTGAGCAGCAAACTCAGGTAGAACACCAGGCTTTGGTGACTACTGTACCTAGATTAGATTGTTAAAGATTATCTTTTATGAGTGTCAGTTGTGTTATGATTGTGATATCACCATATTTTAAATCTGTCAGAACAGGTATGTGAGCTCAAAGTGCAGTTACCTAGTGTTCTGCCAGAGCAGAAATGTCAAAAGCAAGTGCTATTTTTGGATAGTTTATCATATGGTCAGCATCTAGGTGGACTGGTAGGATCCATTTTTTATGTTTTTGTTCATAAGAGGAGGCATTGTCAGCAGAATATCTTTGGACAAATTCTCAAAGGAGCAGAAATTGCTGATCACCTTAGAATCATCTGTGGCTACTTGAAATATCTTGTCCATGCTGCAGTAGAATCTGGTATTGCTTGGAATTTGTGGTGGCAAAAGGATTGAAAGCTGATTGGGATCCACTAGCTCTTCTGCCTGTAACTAGAAACATGAGACTTTTAGGGTCCAGCTGCAAAGGTTGCTACTGAGTCAATTCATCAGAACTTAGGAAATTGGATGCAGGAATCCATCAGTGGGCTAAATGTAGATCTTGAGGAATGATACATTTCCACAGTGTAACCACAGGGCCACAGTATTTGAAATTGAGGAAGAAACCATTCTTTTACATGCCTTTTAGGGATATCATTTAATTATCTGTAAAAAGACAAACATGCTAAATTTTGTGAATGCTTTAAATTCTGTTAAAGAATTTTGACTCTTAAGAAAGACTGTCAGGAAGAAAAATGTGGAAAATCAATTGTTTTCCATTATTTCATGCAGGGAGACAGATTAAGACATAGAGAGCTGTGCCGGAGTTCAAGTGGTTTCAGTCAGATTTCTGGGACTTCTGAAACTATAAGTGGTTTTTCAGAAACACACCAAAGGAAGGAGCAAAAAGAGGTAATTATAACTTTTATCATCTTGTGGAATATGCTAGAGATTAAAATTGTCACAGCAGTGGTCTCATTCAGCAATGACAGGACAAACTGGGCTTTTCTGAAGAGTAGCAAGTATGATCCCTGTGAAGATGGTACATCTGTCTAGATGTGATAATAGTTTAAAGCATGGAGGTTTGTCTCTCATAAGCAGCCATGGCTAACAGTGTAACTTAATATATTATTTTGTACAAAATAAGTAAACAGAAATTAATCAAGAAACACACTTTTATACATACTATTCATTTTTATAGATAATTCTGTTTGCTGTCATCCTTGGATGCAAAAATTTGTTCTCCAGAAATGGTTCCCAAAACAACCATACTTTTTCTGGTCTAGGAACTTAGCTTTTTCTAATACAGTACAGTTCCCCATCAAAAAAGATGAAGAATCATGGCTTGCCTCCAGTGACCCAGAAAATTAAATGGAAGTTCGGCAACTTTGTGGATTACTACCTCCAAAAGTCAAATCACTTTAGCATTTTCTGGTTTTAGATAAAGTTGCCGGAAGTTTTGTTTGTCATACATTATTTAATTATATTTATATATAAAAAATTTAAAATATTAAAATGCTGATGAATTTAAATAATTCCATTCTTGTCTATGTTGAAGATTCCCTAGGACCTTAAGTTAGGTAGAGCAGCATGGCTGTCAACAAAGGCAGTTCTCCCTTCTTCTGGCTTCTCATTCTTATTCCTATCCTCATGCCTTCCCTTTCTATATGTCATACAGGGCACTTACTTACTTAAACTTCATGGCTGATAGATTGCTTTATTCCTTTTTCTTTATACTCATTTTCCTTATTGTCTTTAGCTTTATAGGCTTGTAGGTTACTTACCAATGACTGCAATTCTTTGAGATATGTAGACCACACATACATTTCTTTCCTGCTAGGTGTCCTGGTTTCAGCCGGGATAGAGTTAGCTGTCTTCCTAGTAGCTGGTACAGTGCTATGTTTTGAGTTCAGTATGTGAAGAATGTTGATAACACACTGATGTTTTCAGTTGTTGCTAAGTAGTGTTTAGTCTAAAGTCAAGGATTTTTCATCTTCTCATGCCCAGCCAGCGAGAAAGCTGGAGGGGCACAAGAAATTGGCACAGGACACAGCCAGGGCACCTGACCCAAACTGGCCAACGGTGTATTCCATACCGTGTGACGTCCCATCTAGTATAGGAACTGGGAAGTGGGGGCAGGGAATTGCCACTCGGGGACTAGCTGGGTGTTGGTCGGCGGGTGGTGAGCAATTGCACTGCGCCTTCCCGTCTTCAAGCCTTTCGAGACATGGTTTGTATCTCTGAAAATGAAAAGAGAATTGGATTAGCATGAAGAAATCAGAGTTTTCTCTAAAGTTGTAGCATAATATAATCTATTCTAAACATTCCTTCCTACAAGTTCAATGTAGATGACTAGAAGAAACCAAGAAACTTAGTAAATTAAAGCCATGGAAGCAAAAAGTAGCTATTAGCCTTTCTGTCCTATTATTTGTAATTTTATTTTGGTAGTTCAGCAACATTAAGATAATGTATATGCTGCAGATTTTTGTGTGTGTGTGTGTGTGATAACCTTCATTTCTTTTAAAACTGGTAACCTTATTAATGAAAAGCAAATAAATTCTCTTCTTTGCCCTTCTCCTGTGCAGAAATGTGATGCTAGTAGTTATTCTGAAGCCAGCACTGTGGATCCAGTTATTCTGGAGATGTTTTCGCAACCTAAAAAGTCACACGTACCTAAGGACTGTTTTGCAGAAGGTAAGAATCTTTTATGTATTGCGGTGACGCCAAATGAGCTAATACTCAAAGATATCTGTTTGGAACATTTCCAAATTGTCAGGAACTGTTTGCCTGAGACACTTGTTTATAAACATAAAAACTCAAATAAATATACCTGAAGCCAGCACAGAAGCAGAGCAGGGTTGGGATGGATGCCTGAACACAGGCATTTAGTACCATATGAGATGCCTGGCAGTATGCAAGAGAACTGCATGAAGCTGGCAGAACTATCACAGAAGCTGTAGAATATCCAAAGAGGCCCAAGATGGTTCTAAATACCTGTGTTCAGGAAGCAAAATGCCAACTTTGGAGTGTGATTCAGTCTTATATTGAGGCACCAGACTGCAGGTATCTGTATATGAGCAAAGGCCCTCAAAGCACTTCTGAAGGGGTAGCTGGAGGTCAGTTAGGATATGTATGTTGGTACCTGGTATCTTAAATGGCACTTCAGCTGAATTTGGCTGAGCTCCAAGTACAGTGGATGAATATCCAGTCAATACAGCTAATGGAATTCAGAGGACTGTACAGCTCATCCCAATGTGGACACCTACCTTTGATTGCCTGAACGGCTCCTTAGACTCCATTGACTCTCATGGTTCAATCCTACTGCCTTTACAGATTAATCAAGAAGTGTGTTTCTGGTACAAAACAGTGAACAGAGAATCTAGTTGTAACATCTCTGCAGTGCAATCAAGTGAAAGAACCAGTAAAAATAATAATTTACTAAACTATTAGTAAGGTGATATCTCTTTTCAAAACAAAAAGAATAAAAGCTTAAAATAAATTAAGCAAGTTTTTTAGATAAAAATAATGGCTTTTTTGTGCCCACAAGCCCCTATAGAAGTGCTTGTGGGCACAAAAGCTTCTCTGCTTTTTCCATGTATGAGTTCCTCTATGAAAAGAGTTTATTTTGGCCTACAAATTTTGTCTTTTCTTTAGTTTTAGATTGTTTCAGCCGCAGCATCACCCCATAGGTAAAACAGCACATTCTTGGTATAGTCTGTAGAAGCTTATTTTAAGATGTCTTACTCTTTTTAGATTCCATATCTCCAAATTTTCCATGGAACCAATACGCTTTTCTTTCTCTTTTCAGGTTGTGTTGAATGTTTCCCGTGTTGTGTAGTGGATATCACTAAGTTTCCAGGCAGAATTTGGTGGAACTTTAGAAAAACCTGCTACAGAATTGTTAAACATAGCTGGTTTGAAAACTTCATAATTTTTATGATAATATTGAGCAGCGCAGCACTGGTAAATTTAATTTAATTTCTCAGATTTTGAATTGATGGAAAGTAAAGGAAAAGAATCATATTTAATAATATTTAATTTATTTCTTCTACTTTCGCATCCCTTTCCCCAGGGAGAGACAAGAGCATAATAAACATATCCCTTAGAAGTTAAAAGGCTCTCCCCTACTTGGATAAGATATTTAAGTATATGGAATCATAATCTTCTTCATAGTTCTTCATGGAACGTAGTTCTTCACACATTTGTGTGCTTAATTAGGAGGCTAAACCAGGGCCCAAAATTACTTAGGAAAGCCTAAAAAAATAAAAGCAGTTCTAAGTTTGAAAGGCAGACTAACTGCTCAGTAAAAAAATTAGATTTAAAATCATCCAAACATTAAGATGATCAGAATCTAAAAGTGAAGTTGGCGGTAAACTTGTAGGTGACTTAATCTTTCATTGCTATTCTGATTATATCCATTTCTACTGAAGGATAAGTGAACTTTTATTTGCTTTGAAAACATATTCACTAAGTCTACTGAAAGTAATTTGCTAAGTAAAACATTATATAGTGCAGAAGGAACATAACCAACTAGTGTGAAAGTGATCTAAATGGTAGATGTCAGAATTTTCCAGATAAAATCTGTTCTGTGTGCATTAAGTTTAGGTTGTTCACTGAACCATAGATTTGAACTGTCTGCTTTAAAATTTCTGTGGCAAAATCTCCAAGGGAACTCCCTGGGATTCCCGTGAGGGCTCTCTGTACTCATGTGGAACCAAACTGAAGTAAGGAAGGAAGCTGAGTTATTATTTAATGTACTGTAGGATCTGGCTGAGTTGAACACAAAACTAGTTGCTATCCAGATGCAAAATAACAAAACAATAATGATTTCTTTTCATCAAAAATGTATTGTGGTGTTGAGAACTTTCACATTTCTAAGATACTGTTGTCCTCTTGCAAAAAGTGACTTGTCCATTTTCTGTTTGTTTATAAAGTTGTTTGCTGATACGGAATTTCCTGAACCAGCTAGAATGAAGGAATACCATACCATGAGGCAGGTCCATGGCTTGAAAGTAAATTAAATGAGATAGTGATCATAGAAAGAATGCATAGAAAAGTATGTGGTGAGTGCTCAGTGCTCAGAGCAGAGGAGGAGTTAGAAGTTTGAAAGAGCATCACTGCTAATGAACAGGTGATTTCACTAGTAGATGGAAATCAAGGTAGCCAAGGTTAAACAGGGAAAAAGACAACGCTGATTATCAAACTTGCTCAGAAAAAAGGTAGGAAATGGTAAATAGGTTTATGTACATGAATGCTGGGAGTTCTCAACTACCTACAGTCAAATTACTAGTCCTATGGACACAGTGACAGCTCTGCTCTGTAGACATTTCTCCTAATTGCAGCACAATTGAATGACCACCTCTTCAAAGACCACTTGGCTCCAGAAGCAGTATTACTGTTTTCTTACAATGCAGAGCAGAAGTTTTACCAGTTTGTTGGTAACTATACAGAGGAGCATCTCCTCCCTGTGTTTTTTCAGTGGGAATACAAAATGGAAACACAGCAATGATTTTACATGAGTTTATTGTTTCAGGTCTCGCTTGATCTAAACACCTGGTTATGCTCCTGCTCCCCCTTATTGGTGACCTTTTAGACTGGGTTTAGCCTGTCATAAATACAGGGAAGTGAATCAGATCTGCTATAATACCTAAATAATCATCTTCTCGCAGAGCACTGGAGGCACTAGCAGAGGCACTCAGGTGTTTCTGCAAGAAACATTTAATGGTTTGACATGACTGGTGATAACTTGTAACTGTTAAGGCCTGCTGTAGCTGAGCGAATCCTTGCAAAACCATTGAGGTGTCTTTGCTGCCATGCTGCCCTGAACCAAGGGTCTGTGGACCTTCTGGGTCAGTCTCCCATGTAGCACTGTAAAACTGCTATTTCCTTAGAGGGCGTTGACTGTTCATGAACTTATTAAAGAATAATAGCAGAATAAGAGATTTCACAGTCAGGTAAGGAGCTGTTAAGTGAAGAGCTGATGTGGATTGAACCTGCATATGGATTAAAGTTTTGACATCCTCTGTTTGGTCCCTGACATTTGTCACAGACTACAGCCATGTGACTTTGGGCAAGAGAATTGATCTTGCTACGCTTCATTTGCTCTTCTATTAAATAAAGAAGTTGTGTTCCGACATCCCAAGGATGTGAGATGGTCTATTCCTCTTGAGAGGACAGACTCATAAGCTTCTCATTTCAACTTTTTTACTCATCTTATGGCAAAAAAAAAGACAGAAAGTTAGCAGCTGCAGAGGCAATGTCAGAGAAGGGGACCCAGATTTGAATGAGGATAGGAGAAAGAGAAGTTGTTAAATGCCCTGATGTGCTCTAGAGACACACTGAGCTCTTGAGACAGAGCATGAAAGAGAAAGAGGCAAGAGGAGATTTAGTAATTTATATCTAGGAATTGTACGGTGTGGGAGAGGGTGTGGTACAGGGTGCCTTCTGATGTATCCACATAAGTAAGAAAAATTTTAAGTGAAAGTAATGACAGTCATGGATTCGTAAGGGGGAAATAGTGGTGGTGAAAATAGATGGATAGATCATTAGAAATGTTGGCAGCAAAAGAGAAATGAAGTGGAGAAGGAGCTATAAGTTAGGGGAGAAATGGATGAAAGGAAGTATAAAGACATTGTCAGAGGCTTGGTGAGGAAATAATGCAATGTGTTAAAAGGAATTGGGAACAGATTGGCAATATCAAAAACTTAAATTAGCAAGGCAGCAAATATATTAAACACAAGCAAACAATGACATAAACTACAGCAATCAATAAAACATTTTCCTAAACCCTTACTGGCATCAAAATAATGTCATGGTTTAGGTGAAAAACTCCAGGAATGAACAGTTCCAGGTAAGGTGTTTGTCATATTTTTTCATATCTGTATTACAACTCTGCAGGCTGACTAAAGATGACTCCTTTGGAAGGTCTAGGTCTGAAAGACAGTGTTTAATGTGTTTAATTCAAGCTTTATTATGAAGAATTTTAGACCAACACCTTCAAAATTATCCACTAACTTGGAAAGCCAAGACTTTTGGTAGCCACAATTGACCGTCGTCAGATATTTTTTGAAGAAGTGTTGAGTGTAAACAGCTGAAAACATGTGATTTTTCAACCAACTTGTAAAATAAGTACAGTCTCATTTTCAACTTCGGTTTTTACTTCTAAGTATAAAACTAAGTGGTGCTTGCCCATAATTTAATATGAAATGGTTAGAATAAGCCAAACTGTGTATTCTTGTGCAATTTTAAAATAATTTTCCATAAAACTACTGAACTGTTTTAAAACTAAACTCTGAAATTCCAGGCATTTGAAGATATCCACCTGCAAGAGAGAAGAAATGTGAAAATGCTCCTAGAGTATGCTGATATAATATTTACCTACATCTTTTTAATGGAGATGCTTTTGAAATGGGTAGCTTATGGTTTGCACAGTTATTTCACAAATGCCTGGTGTTGGCTTGACTTCATCATTGTATGTGTAAGTATTATATTCAGCTTGTCTCACATTTTGAATTTTGATATTTTCTGTATAGAGAACTACATGTAAAATCTTTGAATAAACACAAGTGTAAAATACAGTTTCCAAAAGCTGTTAAAAATTGCAATCAAAAGAGACTTTAGGACAAAAGTAAATGGAAATTGTAAGTAATAATCAGAAGTCACCTAAGAAAATTTTATTAGGTATCGCTGTCATTGAGGACCATGTTGGTTATAAAAACCTTTTTGAGTGTAGAGAGAGAGTGCAATTAATGATCAGAAGTAAAATTAAAATAAATAAATAAAGACAATAGAAAACTGTGAAGCTGCTGGCAGCTCTGGCATTTAGAAACAGAAAAAAGTAGAGTTGCTTCCTTGAAGGAGAAGAAATTTAGATGGTAAAGGGAGTTGAAAAGTATTGTTGGAAAAATCATCTACTAGAGAGTTAAAGATCTAGGAAAGTATGTTTTGCTTTGCAACCGAAGAAATCCTAGCAATCCTTTATATAGCTATAAAGAGAAATGCTGAAATCATCACTAGTGAGATGGAGGAAGTGTAGTGTTCAATATATACATATTTATTCTGAATTCAGACAAAGTTAAATAATATAATCTTGCCATATAAAAATGAAATATTTTTGCTTGTCAACAATACGCTGGGAAGATACTGAAGTTAAATACTTTAAAATAAAGACATCTAAATAGCTGACTTTCGGTAATGTCAAAGTAGCTATTTAAGTAGTAAGCCTTAAACGTTGTGAAGTACTATGACATTACAACAGAAAAATCTAATATTATGACTATTTACAAATAATATACAGCATGACTTTAGCAATTACAGTTCTGTAATATTAATAGCAGTGCTGTCCAAAACAGAGGAAAAGCATGAAAATATCCAGTGGCTAGACAACAAGACAACAAATTCAAATAGGAAGAGGCAAATCATGAACAGTGAAAAAACCCCCTAATCATTGAAACAATTTTCTAATATTTTCAGTTCATTTTCTCTCTTATGAAAATTTAAAATGAATACTGGATATCTTTTTAAAAATAATTTTTGTTTCCACATCACCGTCATTAAGTTGTGATAAGGAATTACTCTATACACTTCTGAGAATAACTATGCAGAAAATGGGAATGTTTTATTTGAATAATCCTTTCTGGTCTTGTAGTGTATGATATTACCATAGTTACCAATCTTGTTGTTATATTAGCATTCAAAAAAAATTGTATGAACTGGTTTTGGAAAAAAAAAAAAAAGAGGAAGGTTGTTTCAAATTGGAATGAAAGGATTTCATTATTTTTAAAATATTAGGAAAGAATGAAATAAAATTATATTACGATAACTTTGAATCTGTATTTTTTAAATTTGACTTACTGGTCAAAGATACTATAACATTCAGCCTATGACTGTCTACTGACACAAATAAAATATATTTTTCTATACCATTTAATAATCTCAGTTTCAATTCAATGAACACAGCTGTCATTTGTTTCCTGGGGACTAAACACTGTTTCTAAAGACACATCACCTTGTTCCTCTGGGAGTGCCTTGAAATCTCTCAGGACACTTAGAGCATTGAGGCCTCTACGAGCTTTGTCAAGATTTGAAGGGATAAAGGTAAGGATGCTCTGTGTGTGTGTGCATATCTTGTACTAGCTGCATTTGAAGTTTGTGAAAATCACAACTTGAATTTTTTATTTTGGGACTTGATGGCATTAAGATGGTTCAGATTGCCTACTTACATCTTACAGTTGTTATTTTGAAATAATACCTAACACTTTCAGAGAAATTTATAGATACAAATGAAATAAGGAAATTGAATTATAATGTGCTACCACAAGGAATTATTATGTATAGTAATGTGAACACTGGAACATTTTTCCATGTTTCCAGTTTTACTGCAATTTGTAGAACAAACTAAACAAGAATTTTTTTAGACTTGTACTTTTCTGAAACCCATTCTTTGGTTTATCTTAGACAGGGAAAAATTTCATCCAGTATATTTGGCAAATACTTCTGAAAAAAAATGAATATGCTTGAGAAAAATAGGAACCATTTTTAATTACTTGTCAATAGAAAAGAAGCTATATATATAGTTGTTACAGAAAACAAACTGTAATGTGAGGAAAAAACCTGTACTGTGAAAGTTTATCAATCTTCATGGCATAAGAAATGTAGTGGCCACAGTTGTTTCTTAATTTTTTTTCATTGCCTGAGGCAAGAAATTGGGACCTGGGAAAATGGATTCATTAATTCATTGCTTCACTGGAAACTGTTCACTTTTTGTAACTCTTTTTCATAATTCCCCTTCTTTAAACCGCTGTGCTTATATCAGCTCATCTTGACAGTTATCTAGACAGGCTCATGTGCCACATTTCGGATTCTCCAGGGTGGATCCGAAAGATAATCCTTTCAAACTTAAATAGGGTGGGATTTTCTTAATAGGAGAAGTAATTCTTCTAACTCACTTTTAAAAGCTGCTCTGAGTGAACTATCTGGAATCTTTAAAGTTAGTGGGGAGAAGTAAAAAATTGTATACTGCAAATCATCTGACCTGTGTTAGATCACAGAGTGTGATGAGACACTGACTTCAGGCCCTGGGATGGATATGGAGCAAATCCTCCTGGAAGCCATGAAGGACAAGCAGGAATCAGTTAGAAACAGCCAGCATGAATTTAGGAAGGGCAATTTTTGCCTCTCAAACATGATCGTCTTCTGTGATGAGATGGCTGAGGGAGGGAAGAGCCATCTGTGGTCTCAGGTATTGGTTATATCTGATCTGGATAGGTGAACTATAAGCTAGGCAGAAAATTGGCTGAACTGCCAGATTCAGTGTGCAGAGATCATCAGGATGAAGTTCAACTGGCAGCTGGTTACTAGGGGCTCAGAGGTCAGTTCTGGGATCAATACTGCTTCATGGCTTAATTAAGAACCAGAAGAATGTGGTAGAAATTGTCCTCAGCAAGTTCACAGATGATACAAAAGTGGGGGTGAGCAGTTAATACACCGGGGGCAAGGCTGCTCTGCAATGGGAGCTTGACAGACTGGACATTTGGGCTGCAGAAACCTCAGGAAGTTCAGCAAAAGCAAATGCAAAGTCTTGCACCTGAGCCGGAGTAACCACACGTAACTGTGGCACAGTGAGAAATGAGCAGCTTTGCAGAGAAGGACCTGGGGTGGACACCATGTTAAACATCAGTCAGCAGCGCAACAAAGATCTGCCACATATTGGGATGTATTGTCTGGCCAGCACATTGAGGCAATACGCTCTTCTGGTTTTGGCACCTGTGAGACTGAATCTGGAGTATTGTGTCTACTTTGGGGCTCCCCGGTGTAAGACAGTTATTAACTTACCGGAGAATGTCCAGCAAAGTGTCACCAAGTTGGTGAGGGGACTGGAGAGGAGAGGCTGAGAGAATGGACCTTGTTCTGTCTGGAGAAGAGATGGTTAAAGGGAGGATCTGATTGGGATCTGATTAGGTAAGGGATCTAAATGTTGTCTTTAACTACTTAATGGGAGTTTACTCAAGAAACGGAACTAATGTTTTCTGGTAGACCCACAGTGAGAAAATGAGACAGGATGAATTGGCTGTGAGGGATTTTCCAGTTAGCCACCTGGGAAAAAAAATGACAGTATGGGTGTGTAGCATTGCAATAGATGGTCCAGAGAGGTTGTTGAATCTCCACCCTTGGAAAAATTCAGAACTTGACTGGACAAGATGCCAAGCGACTTGGTCTGTGTTGGAACAGCTGATCTTCAGAGGTCCCTTCCGATGTGCTTCATTCTGTGTGTTTCTAGTATACAGATATTATCCAAGGCCAGGATAAAAGGCTCAGAATTTTCTCATAATGATAGCAATGAAACATTTCCAGAGAGGTTTTCACTATGCCCCACCACAGAGTGGTGAAAAATGGTGAAAAGAAATAGATAATAGTCCTCAAATTCCCACTGACAACAAGCGTGGTCCTGCCTGTTGGCATCAATGTGCTAGATTTGAAAATATGAGTTCTTACCACTGCTTGTGTCAGGTGCCTTGATGTCACCAGCACAGACACCAAAAGCTGGAATCCCATTTTCACTGGTACCATTTCTGGAAAAGGCTTACTGCTCATCATGGGTTTGCATTCCTCTTGTCCTCAAGCAAGCCTAAATGAAGGAAGACTGCTGACCAAAACTACTCAGTCTTCTGGAAGCCAAACTTCTCTACTTTATGTGCTGTGTGTGGTCAGTTGCCAGTGGTTATTGGGTGAGGTTCATTTTGTTATGGAAAGCAAGCTATTCTCTTGAAAAACCCCTCCAAGATAAAAGAGAGGGTTATTTATGATATTGTACTAAATGCAGATCATGCAGCCCATTCCCCTATACCTGATTTTTGGATCCTATAGATACTAGAGACTCATAATTTTATTTTATGTATTTCTTTTACCCAAGGATAGTACTGGTTGCCATCTGTTTTACTTCCTTCCTCAAAAAGGCAAGACAGATACCACAGAATTACATGTTAAGACAAGCTTGAAATTGGGCTGAAGGGTGGCTTTACATTTGTCATTCACTAATTTTTATGTGGGTGAGAATCTGCAATAGATACAGAAAAAAAAAAGTGTTTTTCTGGGAAGGTGTTCTATTGAATGTGAATAATTCATTCTTTTCCTTCATTTTATTTATTTAAGGTTGTCGTGAATGCACTCTTGGGAGCTATCCCCTCAATCTTGAACGTTTTGCTCGTCTGTATTGTCTTCTGGCTCCTGTTTAACATTGCAGGAGTAAAATTACTTGGAAAAAAATTTTCGAAATGCATAGTCAAGGATGTAAATATGAGTCTAATTAAAAACAAAGATAATTGTACTTTCTATAATGGATCATGGACAAATAGTGATGTAAACTTTGATAATGTTGCAATAGGATACTTGGCTCTTCTCCAAGTGGTAAGTTCTATAAAAACATGCTCAGTTTTATTTTCCTTCAAGGAAATGTGTTGAGCAGCCCAACCATGGGACACCACTACGCTTCTGTTTATCTCACTGAAATTGTGGATTTTTTTAGCTTCCATAAATATTTTTCTTATTTATAAGCTGCTCAGTTCCTCCAAAAGAACACTTTAGCATATGCAACCTTGTGTTAAAATCAAGCACTGTTTCATGGCTTTTCAATTTTTTTTTAAATTTTGATTAACATACTAAGCCTAAAATAGTCTGCATGTTACCAGATTTAAAGTTATTCTCATTTTATTTAGTAAAAGTTATTTCAGAGTGGATAAGAAAGAAAAAGCATGATGCAGTTTATTTATATATTTTTTTCTTTTATTGTATAAGTCGTGAACTATTGGGATGCTAATTTACTGATCTCCCTTCTACCACAACAGAGGAGAGAAAGGAATTTTTAAAAGTGCATGTTATCCCTGTATCTTTTCTAGATGAAGTTCTTTTCTTTGTATCCTCCAAAGTGTTCTATGATTCTGCAGAGTTGCTAAAAATTGCAGGAAGAAATCGTCTGCTGTTTTCTTAGACTTTGTTATTATCCTTTTAGGATATATTTGCTAGTTAAGCTGAAACTTTTACTGCTTTTTCAAAAAGCAGAGAATTTACAAAAAATTCAATTTAACAAGAGCTAACATGAAAACACATTTCACAGGATTCATGGCATTTTTTTTTCTTTTCTGGAAATATATATTTTTTTTTCTCTTTACTAAACTCCAGTGAATCATACTTCCAAACAGATCTTTAGAAGTGATGCACACTTTTTATAGCACACTGGTCACTTTTCCACAACTATTAACACATCTATATTAGCTCTACCTAATTTTTTAAAAAATCTTTTTTTAGTGATAATAACCTTAATAATGCATTTTTTTCAGGCAACTTTTAAAGGTTGGATGGATATTATGTATGCAGCAGTGGATTCACGTAAGGTATGTCACTAAAATGAAATTTTAGTTCTTTTCCCTTTCCTTCTTTCCTTTTCTATCGATACAATTCATTTTTCAGCTTTGTTTGCAATATCAAGTCAGAAATACAAGCAGATGAGTGCATCAAATTACACAGTGAAACAATAATCCTTGGAGGACCAAAGACATGGAACTTAGACAAAAGAAAACTGGTCAAAATAGAGTGATGCCACACAAAAACCTACTATATCAAGAATGCAGAGGGCAAGATGTTGCAAGTTTTGGACAAGTCTGTTTTGGGAACAGAGTTCAGAAGGTCGTGGGGGGACTGTGCCTCTGAAGCAAATTTTCTTCTTTTTGGAATGTGTACAGTAGCATTAAAATGGCATGCATCTTTAGCAGTTATTTCTGGAGGTTTTCTTCCCTATATTTGACATCCTTACTATTTCTTCCCCATTTTCTTGTGCTGTTTCTCTCTCTCTCTCTAGTACAGTGTGTTTTAACTTTTCTATGTTTAATTTAATTTGCTTTTTCCTTATTCATTCAAGCGCTGTAGTCTTGAATGTAGTGAAATCACTGCTAATTAAAAAGATCATAGAATCATAGATTCACAGAATGGTTTGGGTTGGAAGGGACCTTAAAGTTCATCTAGTTCCAACCCCCCTGCCATGGGCAGGGACACCTTCCACTAGACCAGGTTGCCCAAAGCCCCGTCCAACCTGGCCTTGAACACTTCCAGGGATGGGGCAGCCACAACCTCTCTGGGCAACACGTTCCATGTTCTGAGCTGCAGACGCACACTGCCAGGTTGTGTTGAGCTTCTTGTCAACCAACAGCCCCAAGTCCTTCTCCACAGGGCTGCTCTCAGTCCACTCATTGCCCAGCCTGTATTTGTGCTTGTTCCTTGTAGGGCTGATCGTAGTGAGCTGGCTTTTTAAAACTGCTTCTTGTCTAGGATGGCCGTTCACCATTATGTTTAGTCTGAGCTGTTTTTCTAATCTAGGCATTCACAGTATCACTTCTGTTTGGAACTGTTTATTGTTTATTTAAGAATTTGCTAGAGCTGGATTTAGCTATATATCCTTGTAATTATCTTTACAAACAGTAACAAGACAGAACAAGGCAGTTGTTCTACTTGTACATCTGAAAATAAAGATTTAAATGTGTAGAAATAATTTATCCCTCCTGACAATAAAAAGATTTGTTACTAGAAGTAGGAAATGATAAAGCTGTGATTATCTGATTTTTACCAATATTATTTTTCTGTTTTGATTTTTTTAACAGATAGATGAACAGCCAGAGTTTGAAGCATTCTTAGCCATGTATATGTATTTTGTGATTTTCATTATTTTTGGATCTTTCTTCATGCTGAACCTTTTCATTGGAGTGGTTATCAGCAATTTTAACCAACAAAGGAAAAAGATAAGTACTACATGAGCTAATTCAGGGTATCTTGTAATCCCAATTTGATTAAGTGAATGCTAGTTTGACACCTATATGTCTAACATTTTCAGATAACTATTTGACTGGAGAAATCTAAAATAATATTTTTAGATACCAGGTTTTGAAAATAGGAGTCCCCTTTTCCCAAAGATTTTAGTAATTTATCTGTAAATTCTATTTTCGTGCCAAGTCCTTGATTTGTTCTAAGTAGGAGGACAAGGAGGAAGGAGTGGGTAGTTTTAGAGAACAGAAGCCAAAGAAAGTTATGCAGACTTTGCTACAGGAGAGTGGAATTCTCTGGAAAAAGTAACCACTGTTTTCCTGGTAAAGATACTTGAAAAGATCTTGTTAATCAGAACTTCTTCTAAAACTAGCTACATTTAAAAAGTCCCGGCGTCAATAAAATAACCCTACAGATTAATTTACTGGGGTTTTTAAAAATTTCTGCACTGAGATCCACACTGTGGCCCCAGGAAGAGGCCATCTAGAAATTTAAAGGTTTCTTAAAGCCCATGAAGCACTGACTGCTTCCACTTTTCTCCTCATAGTTGTTAGATTCCCTGTTCTTTTTATTCTGTAAGGAATGGAAGGCAAAATCTTGTAATGGAAAATGCAACAACCAAAGAAAAGCAAGTCAACCTTCCCCGGTATACTTTAGCTTCTTTGTCCCAAGCTTATTTGTCAATTGAGTTCTCTCCCTGATTCATTTAGGGGCTTAAAGTATCCACAATATCAAGGGAAATTGAGTCAATTAATCCACTTGGAAGTCTTAAAACAAATAAGCATCTTGCTCATTAAAAAAACAGCACAAAAGCAGACCTCAACAGGAGGTTTACAATTTCAAGGATCACGTTTGGAAGGCAGAATCTCTCCAGGCGCCATTTATTATTTCCATTGGCTGACTTACACTCCAGGTGTCAAAGAATTACTGCCCTTGCTAGAGATAGGTAGCAATAAGGCCCACAAGAAATTCTGCTCTCTGCATTTGAACAGAGGAAGGATATGTAGGGGTTGAGGAACAACAGTCCAACTTCACTATAATAATTTCCTTTTATAACAAAGTCCCAGTTATAATAATCCCAACAGACAGAAACAACACTGGTTAAGTAGCTAATGAGCCTGAACAGTTACTAGAAGTTGATGTGGATGTAACACTTTTTTTTCTTTTCTCAGTACATGCTGTAAGTGGGCATTTTTTTCTTTTTCATTTCTTTGCTGCTTCTTGGGGTTTTTCATTGAGATTCCATATAGTGAAATTAAACTGAATTTTCAGAGGTCTTGCCGGAGTGATTCAAAGTGCAGATGCCCTACTGAACATTGTTACATGTTTGTTTTACAAAACGCTAATCATTAAATTCTTTTATGATGAGTGGCTTCTCCTGAATACTCAGTTCAAAGTGATTACTAAGTAGTACAGGTGGTGTAGATGATAATAAGATGAGCACCAGAAATTCATTATCAAGGCCGCCCTGTAGAACTTGGTTCCAAAGTGCTTATTCATAATCCTCCATTTACTTGCTAGCCCAGCAATATACTTCTGTTCCTACCTTTCTCAAAAATAGAAATGGAAAATATTTTATTTGTTGATGAGTCTTGTAATTTTTAAAGTAAGAAATAGATTTGTAAAACTTCAGAAAGGATCTCACAGTTGAGGAAACTGATTCAGGAACACTGCCTAGACTAGACTTTCACAATCAAACCCTGATCGGCTTTTTGCAGTACATCTTATCAAAGAACAAGGGGAAAAGGAGAAATGGTGAAGACACATTTTGTCTCTGTGCTCTCTTAGATCCCACTCGCAACAGCTGTACCTTTTTTTACATAAACTTGCTGGTGTTTATTTAGCTGACTGCTTAAACTTCAGCTGAACAACAGTATTCTTTCCCTTTACTTAGGTGGAAAAGATCTATTTTTGACTGAGGAACAGAAGAAGTACTATAATGCCCTAAAAAAACTTGGATCTAAGAAACCTCAAAAACCCATCCCAAGACCGTTGGTAAGACCATCTTAACTAGAATATGATAGAAGATATAAATATGGTGACCGTATTTAAACTCAGTGGCCAGGCATCTGGAAATAAACTTCATGTTAAAGCCCATCATCTTCCTCATTCAATATAGTATTTACATTTTACTCTCTTTTTCTTAATTCCATCCAATGCAGCCTTTCTTTGTGAGTATTAATTAAGGAAATTTACAGCCTATTTCTCACCTATTCAAATATATAACCTATTTATAAATGTTCGTATTAAGTATTTGATATTCATAACGATCTTGGTTACTTAAGTTGCATAATACTGCTTCTGCAACTAGATTGGATTATTGCAGGTGAGAATGAAGAGTGAGTAGTACATGCCTCATGGCTGTTATTTACTTTTAAATAATCTTATGCTTCATTTCTTATAGTTTCTTAAATTTACTTCCAGGCCTGTCTTCACAGAGTAACTATTCAGTTTTTCTTGCTTAAGACATTTTAATTAGAAACGCTTATCCTAAAATGTCTGCCTCAATAAGTATTTCTATTAAAAGAGCAATCACAATGTACTCTGAATGTTTTCCTGCTGTATATTTTTTTTCTATGGAAATGTGGTTGCATGATACCTGAAAATACTTAGCCAAGTACTTTCTTTGAAGGTCTAAAGAAATCACCTAAAAATGCTTCTAGTAGCTTATTGTTAAATTTATATTCTCTTAAATTCTCTTTCTAAGCACAAATTACTGATTAATATTTGAATGTAGCCTGGGTCTTAGAAGTAGCATTAAGCAGTTCTTCTCGTTCTCTCCACAGAATGTGTTCCAAGGATTACTGTTTGATATAGTATCGCACAAAGCATTTGACATTACGGTTGTAACTTTCATCTGTCTAAATATGGTCATTATGATGGCAGAAGGTAGCCAGGATGGCATCAAGGATATTCTTAATAAAATCAACTATTTTTTTGTGGCGGTATTTACTGGGGAATGTGTCATAAAAATATTGGCCTTAAGACATTACTTCTTCACCAGTGGCTGGAACATATTTGATTTAGCTGTTGTGGTCCTTTCACTAGTTAGTAAGTATCAATCGTTATTAGATCAGGTAATGTGTCTTACCAATACTAAGCCGAATTTCAGTATGAAGTAGCAACTTACATATATCAGATAAACAAATTCCAGATCCATTGTACTTTTTCAAACCATATGCTAAGTGATTCTTTCTAAAAGGATGTATTTTTGTTTTCCCTTATATTTTTGCAGAGTACTAAAAGGTAAATGGATAGTTTTCAATTTTTTTTTTAAAGTATGAGTTTTATTGAGTAATTAATAGAATAGGAATTTAATGCAATACATCTTTTCTAAGTTATTGTACTTAAACTGTTGTCTTAATGTTTTTATGCTTTTGATTTACATGTAATTACGTGAACTGTTGTTTGCATAGTAAAAGTAAATTCAGGTTAAAAATACTGTATGAAAATAATTTGTATGAAAAATGGGAAAGATTTATTTCATTTTCCAGGACTTTCTTTCAAGAAGGCAGATCCTGAAGGCTGATTTAGAAAGCTCAGGAAAATTTCATTGCTCAACACCATTCTAAATCTGGGCCACTATTTGTGACTGTGAAAAGTCTTATTAAAACTGGCTTGGTTTTGGTTTGCTTTTCAAGTAAGACTAGATGCTTGTCGTTTCTTCTACAAAGGGTCATATATAGCTTTAGTTTCTTGTGCAATTTATTTGATCTGTGCTTCCTACTCATGCTCAGGTTATATCATAAAGGATGGGAAAGAAAAATTGATCTGAGTTCTCTGCTTCATCCCTAAGCTCAGTACCCCTTTGCTACCCCATGCAACCCAGAAAAATGCTGACTTCTTAAGCCTTCTGTTTGTAATCATTTACATTCCTACTGTATCATTACTCTGATAGCAGGACATTGAATGAGGTGTGATGGAGGACGAATACTGAAAGACAGTTTTCCTTTATTTTCTTGTCACTCTTCTCTGATCTCATTCAAGTACCAAGCATTAATGCAAGTCTCACATTTAGCGTGTGGCTTAGGCCCGTAGAAGCAGCAATCAAACAGCAGCTAGGAGACAAGCCCCATAGCTTCCAGCACAGGAGCTGAATGGGTTTAAAAGGATTTTTTTAAGTACTTAAGCAATGCGTAATTTCATCCCCTGAATTAGAGAAATCTGGGAGAATGCAGTTTCCAAACTATATATAATCTTGATACCTCTTTAATATTTAAATGTATTACAACTTGTCTTTCTTTCCTTTTGTAAGCTCTTTTGTAAGCAATTGCAGTATTGATGATAATGTTTTTGTTGGAAGTGGTGTAATATGATCAATGTTACTTTCAACACCTAAAGCATAGAATGTAACAAGATGGACATAAATAGGGAATTTCAGTGATATGGCTTGACAACATTTTGTTTTTTGTTTCATTTCAAAGGTATTGGACTTTCTGAAGGCTTTCAAAGTTTCTTCTCTCCTACACTTTTGAGAATTTTTCGTTTGGCACGAATTGGCCGAATCCTGAGATTAGTTCGAAAAGCTAGAGGAATTCGAACTCTTCTCTTTGCATTACTGATGTCTCTTCCTGCACTGTTCAACATTGGTCTTTTGCTTTTTCTGGTTATGTTCATTTATGCCATTGTGGGCATGACAAACTTTGCCTGTGTTGGCTGGGAAGGTGGGATTGATAACCTTTTCAACTTTCAAACCTTTGATAGTAGCATTCTCTGTCTCTTCCAAATTACAACATCAGCTGGTTGGGATGGTCTTTTGGTCCCTCTGTTAAAAGGATCTGATTCATGTGCTCCCAACTTAAATTTAACACGTGAACAGAGAAAAACTTGCACAAATAAGGAGGTTGGTATTTTATTTTTTGTAAGCTATGTCATTATATCATTTCTTATTGTTGTAAATATGTACATAGCTGTCATTTTAGAGAACTTTGGTGTTGCCACTGAAGAAAGCACAGATCCTCTTTGTGAGGATGACTTTGATATGTTTTATGAGACCTGGGGAAAATTTGATCCTCAGGCAACACAGTTTATTGAATATTCTGCTCTTTCAGACTTTGCAGATGCTCTGGCAGAACCCTTACGCATTCCAAAGCCTAATAAAATTCAGCTCATATCCATGGACCTCCCTATAGTTAGTGGAGATAAGATTCACTGCTTGGATATCTTGCTTGCTTTCACTAAAAGGGTCTTGGGAGAATCTGGAGATTTGGATGGTCTTGAATTGCACATGGAAGAAAAATTTATGGCTGCCAATCAATCTAAAGTTTCGTACAAGCCAATTACCACTACCCTTAAAAGAAAACAAGAGGAGGTATCGGCTCTTATTATTCAAAGGGCCTTCAGGAGATATTTGATGCAGCGTTCTTTTAAAAATAAATCTTTCTTATACCGTCATAAACACTATAACAGCGCTGTCTTTGAAGAAGAAACACATGAGAAGGAAAGTCTTATTGCATCAATGCTTAACAAAAATAATGTTAGGAAGCTAGATAAATCACAGACTACATCTTCCATATCTCTCCCTTTATTTTATGATGGTATTGCTGAAACAGATAGTGATAACGTGGACATGTAAGGTTGCCCCAGGCTGCAGCATTTTTGATTAAACCAATGTCAGTTATTTTTAGATGGAGAAAATGTTTTGATCCCACAGCATAATACTCTAAATTTAGAATAATGATGACAGCCTTTAGAATATTGTGATTGTTCAATTTTGCAAATGCTCCTTAAAACAATTGAGATTTGAACAACTATGTCATAAATATTAGAGGAAAATCAAACCATAGTATTTTTTTCCTCAGCTGCTGAAGTAGGTGAGTTAATTTTTACACCTGTCATTTTTTGTATTACTTCATATTTCTGTGTTTACAGAAGAAATCTGTAAAAGATCAGTTGTAACTGTAATATGATTTATAAGCACACAAGGCTGTAGAACAATGTATATCTCTTTAGGGATAAAGCCTGGTTTGAAAAATTGGTTATTGTAGCAAAATTTAATAATTAATGCATTTTCTGTAAAAGAGCTCACTCAAAACACTTGAGTTTAATCAGCCACTAATTTCTATGTTGTTTGGGACCATCTTCCTCCTAGTGCCTTTGGATGGATTTGTTTATGCTTAAGAATTTTTGAGGTATCTTCACACGTGCACCTAAATGGATTTAACATATCATCCTCAGGTGTCTGTGCTTGAAAGTTGTATATAATTTGTTCTTTGTATCATTCAGTGTATGAAAATTGTGATAATAATAGTTACCAAAATCAAAGGTTGTTATGCAAGAGGTGTTGTTTCCAGAAAGTCTTAAGGATTGTTGTACATCAAATTTCATCATTATGCTTTCTCCAAATGTCATAGAAAGTATTACTTAGTAATCTGAAAAGCAGCTCATGGTATATCTTATGAGACAACATTTATTAAAATTAGAGAAAGTATTTAATTGGTTCTGAAAAAAAATGTGCAAACAATGTGTATTAATATTACTTTTACTGTATTTTTGCAGTTTAGGTTGGTCAGGTGAAATGTCATGGTAGCCTCAGAACTACTAAAGAAATAGGACTATTTTAGATTCTTCAATAAAGAATTCAGATGCTGTGCTGGTTTTGGCTGGGATAGAGTTAATTTTCTTCATAGTAGCTAATATGGGGCTATGGTTTGGATTTGTGCTGGAAACTGTTGATAACACAGGGATGTTTTTGTTACTGCTGAGCAGCGCTTACACAGAGTCAAGGGCTTTTCTGCTTCTCCCCCCACCCCACCAGCGAGCAGGCTGGGGGGGCACAAGGAGTTGGAGGGGACACAGCCGGGACAGCTGACCCCCACTGACCCAAGGGATATCCCAGACCATAGGACGTCATGCTCAGCAGATAAAGCTGGGGGAAGAAGAAGGAAGGGGGGACGTTCGGAGCGAATGGCGTTTGTCTTCCCAAGTCCCCGTCAGGCGTGCTGGAGCCCTGCTGTCCTGGAGATGGCTGAACACCTGCCTGCCATGGGAAGTGCGGAATGAATTCCTTGGTTTGCTTTGCTTGCGTGCACAGCTTTTGCTTTACCTATTAAACTGTCTTTATCTCAGCCCATGAGTTTTCTCACTTTTCTGATTCTCTCCCCCATCCCGCCGTGGGGGAGTGAGCGAGCGGCTGTGTGGGGCTGAGTTGCTGGCTGGGGTTGAACCATGACAGATGCTTAAAATATTTTTGTCTGTTTTGCAAGAGGTATCTTCAGTTTCAGTTTATTACAAGACATAATCTGTTATTAGAGGGGTAGAACCACAGTAATACAATTTGCCAAAAATAGCTACCTATTAGCACAAGAAAACTGAAAATGTTTTACTTTTTAGAGGGAATCAGAAAAGATTTAGCATTTTCAGTCGCTGTCAGCTCAGCAGCGCTGGGCAGTGGGATGCAGAGACTCTTGGTGGGTCTGTTTGAGACCTATTTCTCTCCAGCTTGGGTTGCTTTTGTGATGCTTCTGAGGTGAAACTATTTATTCTGTTCGGTGTGAGCTGGAATGAGCGCAGAATTTTTGTTCTACGGTCAGATACCATTAGATGGCAGCATATACTACGTTTTAGAATATGGCCAGTCTAGGGAATATAGCCTAGAATATGGCCAAGCTAGTGAAACAGATGTCGAACTCATCAGTATGGAGATATTAAATTAATTGTAAATAACTTAGAAAGTAATGTCATAACTCTCTTTTTTTCTGTCCTGGGCTCCCAAGCTAGCCACAGTTCTTGATAGGTGCTTGTTCGCTGACTGTTCTGGTTTTTACATATGACAGACCTTTACAGATTGACAGACCTTAATGATTATGAAAAAAAAAAATGTTCTGTGTGCTTGGATATTCCACAAGGGTAGTTTCAAGCATATATCTATAGCACTGTAGCAGGAAATGTTTGTTAGGAAAGAGGTAAGAATGCTTTGTTCTTGCATATTGGAAAAAAAGGAAAGACTGGAAAAGCCGTGAGAGTATTTTAAACACTAATAATATGTAACAAAATGCCTTTTTTTAAAAATTAATCTGATCTTTACAATTTAAAATTATGTTGTTTGAATGCAACAGCAGGTGCTGTGCCCTGATCCAGAATTAGAAATAATTCAAAGGTGAACACTTTATTTCCATTGCAGGGGCAGCAATTTTGGACAGACTCAGACCTGGCATGAACACATCCCTAGTGATTATTTTACCTCAGAAACATACAAAAGCACCTGAATTCACCACAGTGCAAATTTAAAAGTCTGATGAATTTTTTAATATCGCTTAGGCATTAAAGTAGCCTTAGCACACTATTGCAGGGTTGAAAGGAGAATGGTGATATCCAGCTGTTGCAGCTGCTTCATGCTAGAATTGCCCAAAAGCCAAATCAGCTGCTGAGGCAACGTAGAGTTTCATTAAGACAACTATACATGGTGATGAGTTAATAGCAGTGAAGAGGTGTGAGTTTTTGACAATTCTGGTATCTGGAACTGTGAATTCCTCCAGGTAAAACTGCCTGGACACATGGGAACTTCATGAGAAGTGGTCAGGCGTGCTTGGAACACAGTGGAAGGATATTCCTTTCTCTTTATGACATTTGATACTTGGAGAACAGCAAACCCAAAGGAATATTGGATCCCTCCAGTTAGGAAACACGGTGCATGTAACGCTACTAGTAAATTCCCGAGGACCAGCAATATAATACAGAGCAACATTGCCTCCTTCGTGGTGGTGCAGAACTCCATTATTACATTTCCATTTATCACTGTCCTGTGTAGAAATAGTTAGGAACTGACCACTGGTAACTAAGAGTTTTCTCTTACCTTTGTGATAGCCCTGTATCCCTGAGAACAGGCTCCATAAATGTGTTGTGGAAACTTCTATTTTCTGGAGCTCTTCAGTTACTGCTAACCTTGCAATGTTTGCACTATCCATAGTGTTTCTTCAGGACTCAGAGAGGCCCCGTATGTAATTAAGGTATCTGAAAAGAAATGTACCAGAAAGAGAATCTGTCATGGCATCTTTTCCTTGAACCTACCAAAGGCAGGTAAACATTCTGTCTCAATTTGAGAAATCCCCACAACTCATGTTATGCAAGAAGATGTGCCAAAATATGCTTTTCTAATTCATATTTAGAGTGAACGTTCCCATAAGACTAGCACACCCAACAACTGTAGCAGCTTTAGGCAGAGGTCAGGATTATTGCTAGAGGTGATGGAGAAGAGGTCTATCATATTATGCTGAAACTGAGTAGAACAAATTTGTCAATATTTATGAAAAAAGTTACAAATGTAGAGGAATTGTGTTTAAATACTATTGTTAACTACTGCCAGCTAATAGCAAATCTGACTTAGACTTGCTTCAGCAGACTTTAGAGGCTTACTTTCTGAAGTCTCTCTGTCTTACCTGCTGTCCTGGTTTTGGCTGGGATAGAGTTAATTTTCTTCCTAGTAGCTGGTATAGTGCTATGTTTTGGGTTCAGTATGTGAAGAATGTTGATAACACACTGATGTTTTCACTTGTTGCTCAGTAGTGTTTAGACTAAGTCAAGGATTTTTCAGCTTCTCATACCCAGCCAGCAAGAGGGCTGGAGGGGCACAAGAAGTTGGGAGGGGACACAGCCAGGACAGCTGACCCAAACTGGCCAGAGGGGTATTCCCTACCATGTGATGTCATGTCCAGTATATAAACTGGGGAGAGTTGGCCGGGGGTGGGGGAGTGTGCATCGCTGCTCAGGAACTAAATAGGCATTGGTCGGCAAGTGGTGAGCAATTGCACTGTGCATCACTTGTTTTGTATATTCCAATTCTATTATTATTATTATTATTTTCTTCCTTTCTGTCCTATTAAACTGTCTTTATCTCAACCCATGAGTTTTACTTTTTTTTTCCCCAATTCTCTCCCCCATCCCACTGGGTGGGGGGGAAGTGAGGGAGCGTGGTGCCTGGTTGCTGGCTGGGGTTAAACCACGACACCTGCCAAGGAAAAGTTCTGCCAATTGCTTCACAGAGATGAACAATAAAATGGACCTGGCAGGAGCAGAGCTGCCCATCTCTTCTGCTCTGCAAAACGTGGACTGCCTTCAGTATGAACACCCTAGACCCTATCCCAGAGTATCTGGTGACCAGTACCATCCATTCCAGCTATCGGTCCCCTTCTGCTTTGGAGCTGCCTTGGAGATAACCTTGGAGAGCTTAACACATATATTGTAGTTACTGAGACCTAATTCAGGAAGCATATTGCTGTCCTGGCAGGTAGGGTCACCGTGGTTTGGGCAGGTCTCGCTCCAGTGGTTTCCCAGCCACCTTCTTTTTTACTGTTTACCATTAGCTGAATGTCCTGTCTGCTGAGTTTGTGTGGTGGAAGCCCATGCAAGGACTGCCTGTGCAAGCCAGAACTTAGGTTCATGTTAACAAACTTGGATCTTACACGTAGATAATGGTGCGGAAGGAAGAACTATTTGACTTTTTGCCATCTCTCCCTTCTTTCTTCTCACACCTGAACGAATTGGATGGTTTCTTCAGTTATTCCTGGGTTTGGATAACTCTTCAGTTTTAGCAGCTTAAGAGTTGCTGAATTCACAATTTCAGAGTTATTAATATTT